AATTGTGCCTCCTAGCATCATGTCATATGCAAATTCAATATACATTCCTTATTCAAGTTAGGGAATAAAAAATGTTAAACAGCACAGGACCAAGAACAGGTATCTACTGGAGCCCTTTCTCCAAGTTGACATCATAACTATTAATGACATTCTTTGGATCTGGCCATCCAGCCAGTTCTGAATCTACCTGATTGTACCATAATTTTAATCAAGGTATAGGCCAAGAGAGGTGGAGAATTGTAACGGGATTTAGAATTTATAGTTTAGAAGTTGAGTGCTGTCCAGTCTAGGACCTCATGTGGTTTCCTTAATTACCTTATTTGGTATATTATTTCTGAATAATATTGTGGTCTGGAATCATCAGATAAGGAGATAAGGAGGGTAATAGGAAGGTAGATAGACCCTAGAATAAGGAATCCATTAGAAGAAAAGGGACAGGTAATTAGGGGTTTAGGGGTAGCAGACTTATGAATTTAAGGAGGTAAGCTGCCTAAGGACCTAGAGTAGTAGAGGGCTAAGTACTTTGAGTTAGAGTTCATTGAACAGTTAAGGTTTAGAGACTAGTGAAAGATGAAAGTCCCAGGGCTAAGGGACAAAGATCAGGGATCTGGTTCAAGAAGGGGTTGGAATTGTAGGAAACTGCCTGCTGTCTATTGCTTGGTTCCTTACACAGATTATATCTATACTTTAGCAAAAATATAGAAAGTTGAGTGCCCATTAATTGGGGCATAGCTAAGCAAATTGTGGTGTGTGAATGTAATATAATATGTGTCATACGAAATTGTGAATATGAAGTATTCATAGGAACATGGAAAGATTTATATGACCTGATGCATAATTGAGCAGAACCAGGAAAATAATATACACAGAGACTACAACAGTATAAATGAAGTAACATATATAACAGTAAAATGAAGGCAGTAAAATGAAGTTAAAACAATAATTATGTCAACCAGTGTTGATCCTAGGGAAGAAAAGAAGAAATACAGCTCACACTTTTTGTTAAAGGGTTGGTGGTCTCGATATGGAATGCTGTATGTGCAGTCAGACACTTGATATGCCAATTGATTTTGCTTAGCTTTTTTTTTCTTTGTTATGAGGAAAGCATCACTGCAGCGGAGAAAGAAAAGGAAGGAATGTAGAAGGGAATGTCTAGTGAAAGTAAGTTATCAATAACTTTTAATGATACCTTTAACAATCCAATATTTTTTAAGCAGCTACTCTGTGTTAGGCACTGTGCTAATAAGCACTGGGGATGCAAGTACAAAGACTGAAAAGATCTCTACTCACAATGAATTGACATAATAAGGGAGACAACATACATATATAGATACAATGTAAAGTTAATAAATATACATAATACCAGGTACTGTAGGAGGCAGGGCAATAGCACCTTGGGGAATCAGGAAAGGCTTTATGCAGAAGATGATGTCTGAACTGTATCTTTAAAGAAGAGCGGGCTATTATGATGCAGATGTAAGGAGGTAGTGCATTTCAGGCACTGGGGATATAACCCAATTCTTTATCTAGTACTTTCCCCTCTACTCTATGGCCATGGTAGCCAAGTATATGTGTCAGATTACTTAATTAAAGACTTTAGCTATAAATGCATCCAAATTTAAAAGTATTTATAAAGGTAGTAGTTAGAGCACTTAGGCTAACAAGTTTTTTTTTATGTAGTACATACCTAGTAGGTGCTTGGTGATTTATCAACTTGCCTTTTGTGTATGTGAGTTGTTATTTGAATTGAGCTTACTTTAAAATAATCATTTCAAGGTGTGACCAAATTGTTCATATCTTAGGCAAAATTTATATATACACACATACATATTTGTGTATTTTTTTTTTTTGCTAAGAAGTTATATGAATAATGGTATTGAAAAGTGTTGTTTGGAAAAAGTACTAGAGCACTGGACCTTGAAATATAGAACCTGCCTTATAGAGTGCATATGAATGCATTATTCTGCTCTTCTGCATGACATGCAAATAATTTACATTTCTGCCTTTTCTATTCAATGATTGTCACCTTTCCTGCCAGTTCTGCACATCTGGCTCTCTCAGCTTGCTTTGTCCTGGTGGAAATGGTATTTGTTTACTTACTAACAGGTTGGGTCTGTAATTTGGATTAAAGCTCTATCTTTGGCTGCCAAAATCCTGTCAAATGATTCAACATCAGAAATGAAAATGGTTTTATCAATGGAAATAACATTAAAAAAATGTATTACCATCTGCTTTATCACTGTCCCCTAAGAATCATGGCTCCTTTCCATCTGACCTGCTGCTGAAACTTCCTATGTTTTGTCTCTCCCTATTAGAATGTGAGCTCCTTATAAGCAGACTGTGTAGTTTTTCTATTGCTATCCCTGGTGATTTGCACATAGTAAGCACTTAATATATGCTCTAATACATATATTAGCATTAGAAACTTAATGCTTTGATAAAACATAGGTAAATCATATTTACAGCATTTGCCTCAATCTACCACAAAGGAAATACATTTATTCAGAATGATGTTCTTTTTTTCCCCACTTTTGAAAAAAAAAATCCTGACATCAAATAAAATGAGCACTTTCATATACACAGAACAGAAATTGGATTGTACATGAAAGTACAAATATCTGTTATGTACAGCTTGCTTTTCTTTTTAAATATATGATAAATTCAGCATGTTACTTTTAAAGATGTCCTGCCTCTGGTTCCTTCTGGCCTTGCTTCTGTTCTTCTTTGGTATGTTTCCAAAACACATTTGAAGAGCCTCTTTTTTTTTTTTTTAAAGCCCTATCCATACCTTTACTCTTCCTTCCTATCCCACATTCTCAAATTGAGAAGAAAAAAAAAATTATTGTAACAAATGCTCATAATCAGGCAAAATGAATTCTCATATTGGCTATATCCAAGAAAATGTATGTCTTTCTGCAATTTGTCACTTTTCTGTCAAGAGGTAGGTAGCATGTTTCTTCAATAGACTTCTAGAATTGTGGCTGATCATTGCACTGATGAATATTCTTAAGTCTTTCAAAGCCATCTTAGTTGACCATCAAATAACTGTTTTTTCTAGATGTTGACTAACTATCTCTTTAATGTGTGAAGTCACTGATTTTATCTGGAGGAACAAAAGTTCAACATTAAGGGAAATAATGAAAAAAAGTGGGATGGAAGGACTGTTAAATCTCAAATTATACTACAAAAACATCTGAAGTGTTTGGTATTGGATAAAAAAATAGAAAAATTACCACGGCTAAGATCATTTTCCCAGTAGAAAGGATGGGCATAAAATGAGTTAAATAACTGTGCCATCTCACTATTTATCATCTTACTCACGAAGGGGTGGTTCAATCCCTTCTTTGATCCTCATTTTTTCTCAATGTAACTTAAAAGAAAAAAAAAGAAGCCCCCCTTTTTTTGTCCTTTGCATTAGCTTTGCTTGGCAGCTTTGGCTCAACCTAACCCCGGTCTTACAGGACCTTAATATACTTTTATTTGTCTTCCACTACTTGCATTTGTTTCCATCTTCCCTAAATGTACTTGCCTTTTCTTACATTCTATGATGAAGGTCAATTCCCTGTGCATCTATGTGAGTTTCCTTTAGAAAACACAGCCATTTCTATCTAAAGAATTTCATTCTTGACAGCCTCCCATCTTCTGGGGCTGACTTCCCATGTAGAATTTTATTCTTTGGGTTCCTATCTATCTTCTCTAAATCCTTTTAAATCTGCTTTCCTAAGATCTAGGATGCATTTTAAATCTATTTTTCCAAGATCTAGGATACATGCCATATTACTTCTCATATTCCACTTTTCTTTCACAAGTGGAGTGGTCATTTCCTTTCCCCACCCTGTTACCATCACTTCCACCCCCAGCAACACCTTCCTCTTAGTTGGTGAAAATCAAAAGCAGAATAGAATTTCCCTTTGCTTGTCCCTTCACTTAAAAGCTCCGTAGTTGGGACTGTTAATATTATATTATGATGTTAAAGCAGGTAGCTAGCTAGCTAGGTAGAACAGGTGATAGAGCACCGACTTGGGATTCCAAATTCGAATGCTGCCTCACTTTCTAACTGTGTGATACTAAGGACAAAAGTCCCTGAGCCTCTCAGGCTGTTTCCTCGCCTGTAAAATAGGGGAGGAATGATAGCTCCCAACTCACAGGGTTGCTGTTAAGGATCAAATGAGTTAAGTTATATAAATGTTATGTAAATGCTAGCTATGATAAATGATGATTTCAGTCCAACATAAGGAAAAACAACCAACAACTAGTCTAGCCCAGTGCCTGGCCCATAACAGACGCTTTACTAAATATGCTTGTTGACTTGACTTGATTTATCAGACGTGGGATGGATGTGGAAGGATGCAGACGGCTCTTCTGCTTAAGACTGGTAGGATTGAACCGTGAACCCATAGAGGCCAATGTTGGTCGGGTCGAAAGAAGCTGCCAACAATAACGATATTATTGCTAATAATATCGTTGTTGCTAACAGTATTTCTGCTCACAGTAATAACTGTCGGACAGCAAGCTGCAGGCTCCTCGGTGAGGCTAAGCTCCCCGGCCCCGGCCGCGGTGTGGGTATTGCAGGAGGTGACCTCCAAACGTCCCTCGTATCCCAACCACAGCTGCAATCCCTTCCCCCACCCCCACTTTCCCCTGTCCCAAAGTCCCCAGTGCTCCGTCCTAACCCCCGAGGTGCCCCGATGTGCCTGCGCTCCCTCTACTCCCGCCACCAACACAGGCGGGGAACCATATCTTCTGCCCCTAGCTAGGACGGACTACGACTACGCAGACGGGAGGGGGAGGTGGCGAGGAAAAGGCTCGGGCACCGGAAGAGGACACGAGTACTTCCAGGTCAGACGCCGAGAGGGCCAACATGGAACCTCGCGCATCTGCGAGGCTAGCGGAGCTGCTGTGCAGTCGCTAAGACCCGGGCATCCGCCGCCGCCGCCGCCGCTCGGCCCGGTCTGGCCTTTGCCGGGACCTCCCCCCACCGCCCCCTCCCCTCCCAAGGTCCGCCCCCTCCCCTCTCCTGCCCGGCGGGTCCCGGCGAAGCTGCCTCCGCCATGTCAGTGCTGGGCGAGTACGAGCGACACTGCGACTCCATCAACTCCGACTTCGGGAGCGAGTGCGGCGGCGGCTCCGTGTCCAGCCCCGGCCCCGGCCCCGGCTCGGCCGCCCGCCCCGGTGGCGGCTTCCCGATGGAGCAGGAGGAGTTGCATTACATCCCCATCCGCGTTCTGGGCCGGGGCGCCTTCGGGGAGGCCACGCTGTACCGCCGCACCGAGGTAGAGCGCAGCCGGAGCCCCCGTCCCGCCTGCCCGCGGCCTTCCCTTCCTCCTCTTTCTTTTCTCCCGGCTTTCCCTCTCCCCTTCCCCTTTCCCCTTCTCCTTCTAATCGCCCCATCATCTGGGTGTGGAAACTGAGGCTCTTCATCTCACTTCCTCAGTTTCTTCATTTGTAAAATGAAAGAGCTCCACTATATTGTCTCTAGAGTCCTTTCTCAATTCTAAAAAAAAAAGAGTCCCCTAATTCCTTCCATTCTCCTAACTCTTCTTTTCCCCCCTATTTTTCTCCTCTACCTTTTCCTTTCTCCCGTTATCTTTTCTTCATCTTTTCTCCTTTCCCTGTTTATTATCTCCATCTTGGAGATGTAGAAATTGAGGCTCTTCATCCCTCCGTTCCTCAGTTTCTTCATCTGTAAAATGGGGGAGCTCTACTTGATTACCGCAAGAGTCCTTTTCAACTGTAAACAGAAAAAAAAAGAATTTCCCTAATCCTTCCCTTTCCCTTGTGCCTAACTCTTCCTCCCTCCCAATCTTTCCCCTCTTTCCTTTTTTTCCCCTGTTCTGTTCTCTGTTCCTCTTCCTTTTTTTCCCTTTCCCATCTATTGTCCCCATCCTATAGATGTAGAAAGAGAGGATGTTAATCTCCTTGTTCCTCATTTTCTGCATCTGTAAAATGAAGGACCTCTCCAGTCCTTTCTCAACTCTAAAAAAAAAAAATTTTCCATAACCATTCCCTTTTCCTTTTTTTTCTAAGTGCTCCTTTCCTTCCTTCTCTTTTCCCTTACCTTTCTCCCCCCCTTCTTTTCCCTTTTCTGTTCCCTTTTCTTACCTTTTGTAGAGCATTTTTACCCACCTACTGTCTTGTCCCCAACATCTGTAGCATCATCATCTCCTAACTAGAGCTCAACATCAGTTTAATATTTATCAGATTCCCATAGGGCATGGTCCCTGGTGTCATCTTCACTATTTAACTTAAACATCACCTTCACTAGGAGACAAGTTTCATTAGTTACCTGCCATCTTGATAAAGTTTGAACTAGGGCATTGTCATGAATGCCTGTTGTCTTTCCTTCCCACTAATTAATTTTTCCTTCCTTTAATACTATTCCAAGTCTCCAAACAACTTTTTGGTAGTATATTTCCCAAATGGCCAGATCTCTCAGTATTCTTCCCAGTCTTATGCCTTTCAACCCCCGCCACCCCCCCCAAAAAAAGTCCTTGCAGTTATTGCTTTTAAATTCTAACATACCCACGCACCTGCGACTGTTCTTGAAGGCCATTGGGAAGTTCCAGCTGCTTTAGAATTCTGGTTGGTTTCTCCAGCAGTGTTTATCATAAGAAGGCTTTACACTGTATTGATGACTCAGAGTCCTGAAGTAAGCTAAGGACTTTTGGTTGTACCCCTAAAGCCACATGTTACAGATCCAAAGAAGTACAAATTCTGAACACTTAAACATATATTGATGACCCGAATGTCTTTGAAGCATTACTTTTTGTTCATATTTCTCTGTCTTGAACTTAAGCCTTGGTTTGTATTTGTAGAATTTAGAGCCGATTGGAGCCTTAAATGGTTTAGTCCAGTTTCTTCATTTGAGGATGAGGAAGCTGAGACCTTCAAAGAATTAGTGAAAAGAGAAGTAGGGGCAGAAGAAACCGGTTAGGTAATTATTTAGAAAGGTCTTTTCCCCCCATACTAGGACTTTTTGAAGAGGCCCATAAATATCCTGTTTCATGAAGCGTCTTTTGTGAAAGGATTGCAGAAATGCTTTGAAAAAGCAAAAAAAAAAATGTATTTTGCATTTGTAAGATATTGTTATTTCTCTGTTCTTTAATTTGCCCTCACTGTAAGATTGTTGGGAAATGAAAGGTATTGTCTGACTGAGGTCAGAGAGCTGGCCCAAGAGTCAGGTAAGACTTGAGTTCAAGTTCTATCTCTGACACATACTGACTCTGTGACCTTGGGCAAGTTACTTAAACTCTTTATGCTCTAAACCAGAGGTCTCAGGTTCTGTGCAGGCAGCTGGAAAAACTACCAGAACCAGATTAAAATATAATCAGGAAATGCAACATGTTAATTTGTGGTTTTCTAAGACAATGTGACACTGCAGGGATCCATATCCTTTTGAGTTTAACACCATTGTTCTGAGCAACTCTCTTAGATTCTAAGTGACAGAGAACGTGCCAGTCTGCATTGATAGGCGTTTCCTCATAGAGTAGTTCCCCATGTAATTGAAATTATAGATTCAATTCTGCTCTCTACCTCATATTTATATACACTTTAAGGCAATGGTGTCAAACTCAAATATAAATAAATCCCTGTTGGCCATATATTGACTTAGGAAACCACAAGTTAACATCTATGCTGTATTGTATTTTTATTTTGTTAAACATTTCCTATTTACATTTTAATCTATTTCAGGCCTGCTGCTGTTTGCAGCCTGTGAGTTTGACACCTCTGCTTTAAAGTTTGAAAAGCCTTTTCTCCAGAACTGTCCCATAAGGCAGGTAATATTAGTACTGTTATTCTCATCTTGTAGATGTAGAATCTGAGGCTCTTCATCCCTCTGTTCCTCAATTTCCTCATCTGTAAAATGAAGGTACTCTACTTGATTAGAATCCTTTCTCAACTCTAAAAATTTCTAGAAGAAATGAATTTTTGAGCTTATTTCAAGAGTTAGAGCAATTTTTGGGCAGGGGGAGTGAAAGGGGAGAGTAGCAGAAAGCTAATTCTAGACCTGGGGAGTGGCAGGTGGGTTTACATAGCTAGACAAGAGGATTTGTGAAGGGGTATGGTAGGAGACAGAATGAGAAGGTAAAGTAAGTGCCTTGACTGAGTTTGTACTTAAGCTACAAGCTAAAGAGGATGACTGAGCCGAGCCACTAACTTAAATTTTATAACTTAACTTGAACTTTCATGTTAATTAAGAAGTTGGAATTAGAATGGTTGATGCTCTCTTAACAAATATAGCATATGTAAAATGCTTTGCAGACTTTAAAGGGTATATAAGTGCTAATTATCATTACTTCCTGCCTCCCTCTTACCTCTTCTACCACCACTATTCTTGTTGTATCGCTCTGTTGGACGTTTACATTCTATCCTAGTCCATGTTTTCTACCTTGTTGCGGACCTAGATCTTGCATTTCATAAATCAGCTGGCATACCCAACAGTTTTTTGTTTAATATTTACCATTCCCTAACCAAAGATTACTAATACAAATAATTATATATAGTCTCTGCCTAAAGTCTGTTTTGTTTCTTTTAAAGGAAAAAAATTAAATAAGCAAGTGTTTGTCCATCTGGCCTTTCTAGGCTTGTGGACGCAGATGTGGATTCATTGACTTCCAGGAAAGAAGAAAGCACCATACTTATGTTACTATGTTGTAGGATGACTCATTGGTTGTGTGGAAGGAAGTTGATTTGACCCGATTGTCTGAGAAAGAACGTCGTGATGCCTTGAACGAAATTGTTATTCTGGCTCTGCTACAACATGACAACATTATTGCCTACTACAATCACTTCATGGACAACAACACCTTGCTGATTGAACTAGAGTATTGTAATGGTAAGCAGAGATCTTAGTGACACTTCCTCTAACATGCTTTTATTAATTGCACAAAAGAACTGTCATCTGTAATACGGAGTTTAAATGTTTTCAAAAGAAGTAATGGTCCCCAGAATGTTTTGAAATGATACAACAAAATAAATGGGACTATTAATTGTTTCTGTGTTTATTAATTTCTGCCACAGTGTCATAGCTTTGTCTCTGAAGCATAATTCTTAGACATTTTTTTTTAGCAATTTTTGTTTCAGCACATTATACAAACCTCCACCACAATCCCATTCGAATCCCCCCTACAATGTACAACCCCCCAAAACAGTTAAGTAAAATAACATGAAGAGAGTACTTGAAACTGACAGTACCTTTTCCCATCATTTAATAGAAGGAATGGAAATATACTTTATAACAATCTTGTCTCATGTTTTTGATCAGAGTTTTCTTACCATTTAGGGATGTTTTCATTTATATTCTTGTAGAAAGTTGTAGTAATTGTGTTTATTGTTATTTAGATTCTACTTTGTGTTCTCTCTGCGGCCCTTCGTACAAGTCTTCCTGTATTTGAAATCTTTGGCTTGCCATTCCATGTGGACCACAGTTTGTTGAGCAGTTTTTCAGTCTTGGGCACATTTTTTTTGCTATTACAAAAAATGCTGCTATGAATATTTTTGTGCAGATCAACCGCTGCCAGATCTCTTCTGGATATCCTATAAGCATCTCAAATTTAGCATGTTCAGCTTTCCACCCCAACCTCCCTTAATCTGCTTTTCCTCCAAAATGTTTCTCTAAAGAGCACTTCCAGCCTCCCAGCTTCACAACTGCACAGTCACCTTACCTCTTCCTTCTTCTTCATTCTCCATATGTAGTCATTGACAAGTTTTGTCTTTTGCACCTACACAACATTTCTTTCATCTGTCCCTTTCCATCTGCTCATACAGTCATGACTTTAAATGGGGTAGCAAGGTGATGGAGTGGATAAAGTAATGGACCTAGAGGGAACTCAGGAAAACCTGAGTTCAAATTCAGCCTGTTACATTTACTAACTGTGTGACCCTGAGGAAGTCACTTAACCTCTGTTAGCCTCAGTTTCATCATCTATAAAATAGAGACAAAAACAGCACCATCCCAGAGTTATCTTGATGAATGAGATAATATTTGTAAAGCACTTAAAGTGCTGGGCACATGGTAAGTGCTGTATAATTGCTAACGATTAGCTGTTCTTATAAATTCATTCCCTCATCACCTCTCACTGTAAAAGCCTTCTGATGAGTCTTTCTGTTTCTATTTTCTCCATTCTCTAATCCATCATCCATATAACTGCTAAAATAAGGTCATAGGTCCCTAAGTCATGGATCCAGCCAGGTTGCTGTCTGCTCAAAAACTTTAGTAGTTCCTCATTGTTTCTAGAGTAAATTACAAACTGAAAATTTACAAACCTGAAAATTTAGGGCCCTCCATAATCTGGAACGCCCTTCCACCTATTTTTCCTACCTTATTTATTACTTTTCCCCTTCATGAACTCTAGATTGCAGCCAAACTGTGCTCCCAGCTGTCCCCGAACTTGACAGTGTCTCTTGCCTCCATGCATTCACATAAACCATTTCCCAGACCCAGAATGCTCCTCACCTCCACCTTTCAGAATTACTGGCTTCCTTTAATTCTCAGCTCACATGCTACCTCCTTTGTTGAAGCCTTCTCTGATCTACCCAGTTACTAGTGCTCTCTCATATTTCCTTGTACTATAGCACTTATATGTGTATATATCATAATTCCTGGAGAAGAATGGAAACTTTTCAGTGGTAGGTACTGTTTTCTTTGTATCTTTGTTATTCCCAGTGCCTTGCATAGAGTAGTTACTCAATACATTTTTTACTGAATCGGAGTATAAAACCAAGAGTACAATTGTTGGGTCAAAGAGTATGAACAATTTTGTAACTTTTCTTGCATAATTCCAAATTGTTTTTCAAAATGGTTGAACCAGTTCACCAATTCCACCAGCAATGAATTATGTTGTCTGTTTTCCTATTGCCCCTTTAATACTGAATTTTTCCATCTTTTACTATTTTTTTCCAATTTGGCAACCAAAAGGTGATAGCTCAGAGTTGTATTAATTTGAATTTTTCTGATTACTGATTTTAAGCACTTTTGTATGTGGTTGTTGGTATTTTACTTTTCTTCTTTTGAAACTATTTGTATCCTTAGACATTCTCTGTATTTGGGCTCAGTTCTTAATTTCATAGATTTTTGCCAATTACCTCTAAATTTTGAATATGAGACTTTTTTTATTGAAGATGTGTTGTTCAAGGGTTTTTATTCCTTAGTCTATAACTTCTAGCTGCATTTATTTATTTTTTTTTGGTACAAGAGATTTTTATTTATATGTAATCAAAGTGGGCTATTTGGTTTTTATAATATCTGTCATATCTGGTCATAAATTCATCCCCTAACCATAGGTATAAGAGCACTAACCTTATATTCTCCTCTAACTTTATAATAATATGACTTTGTATATTTAGTTCATTTATCCATTTTCCTTTTTAAGTTGTTCCATTTGTCGTTATGGCCAAATAATCCATTATGTAGTGATCAGCCTGTGAGGAAATCCTCAGTTTAGAATATCTCGTTTTGGTAGGGAGATTCAGGAGTTAAATAATTTTCTCTTAGTCTGTAAGTTCTTTGAATACAAGGATCTCTTAACCTGAAATTTGTATCTCACCGGTACGTAATAGAAAGCTGTATACAAAGTAGGTGCGTAATAAGTTTGTCTTGTTTCTTTTCCCTCTTCGGAGAAAGGTCTTAAGAGATTTTTTCAGATAATTTCACTTCTCATGTGTATGGATTATTCTAGATCCTAATCAAACCTAGATCTGGAAAGTTGTATTGTGATTTTAGGAGTTAGTAGAAGTTGCAGAAAGTTAATTTCTTCACCATGGTTCAGATAAATGAAAGCAGATGATAAGAGTTAATGAAACTTTTATTTGCTAAATTTCAAGGAATTAAAGATGCAAAGTTTAGCTAAGCTTGAAATATGGTTTAGAAATGCAAGTAGAAAGTAAGGCAGTCTTAAAGGGAAATGTGAAGGAGAGAGTTAATCAAAACCACTTAGTTGGCAGGAAGAAGGTAACTTAGGTAGCAGTTAATGATTGGGGGAGAACTTAAGGATGGAGCCTACGCACAGGAACATTTTTCACTTAGCAAGGAAAAAAAAAAATCTGGTAAAAGGACCTAAATATGCCAAAACATCTCATCAGCAGAAAAGGTTGGTAAAGGAATATCAGAGGAAGCAAAATAAGTGATATTAATCATATCAAGGCCTGATCCAAAGGAGCTGTTAAGATCCTTGCCCCCTTTAAATCTTAGGATCAATGTGACCTGAGTTTTATTTACTGTATCCAGTACTTTCAGTTAAAGATCTTTTGTACTCTGTCGTCTTTTCTAAAAATACCACCTTTGCTTTTTGGACAGTTAATTTACTTGTTGTTGTAGTAAGGAACTCTTCTTTAGGGCAGTTGTGTTCTGTGGAACCATAGTAATTTATGTAAGGTGCATTGGGATTTCATGAGAATTTTAATATTTTCCTCCTAAAATGTTAAATATGAAATTATATACATATATATGTGTGTGGCAATAGACTTAAAAATAGACTTTCCAGTGTGACAATAGACTTAATTCCCTCTATTTTGAATTAAAATTTCCTTGACTTGCCTACCCTGTTTTAGGGGTATTCCTCAGTTTCCTCTAAGCAGTATTTAGGGGTTCCATCTACATGTTTTCAGACCCAGAGTTTTCCATAGTTTGGGAAATGCTGCCTGAGAGAAAATTTTGATGTAAGGTATTTAAAAAGTGAAAAGCCAAGAGATGTTCTTTCCTGTGAGGAAGCTTTGAGAGTTCTGCCTTTCCTGTGTGGGTGGATAAAGCACCAAGAGTTAAAGGAGCTAAACATCAATCTGTTAACTAAGCAGAGCTTTTCTCTAAATGTTCTTTTTTCCATTGTTTAATTTTAGGAGGAAACCTATATGATAAAATCCTGCGTCAGAAGGACAAATTGTTTGAGGAAGAGGTATTTCAGATTAATGTGGAAGGGGCAAGAATTGTTCTTTAATAATTCTAACTTCCTGGGGTTCTTTGCTTATGTTTGCTCTCCTCTCACCTGCTCCTCTCAGTCTGCTGTCAAGCCTTTCTAGGTTTGGGATAGTCAAGGGACTAAAAGAGTACAGTCTCTCGTGAAGATGAGGGCTGTCTGTAGCTGCTTTTAAGTTTTTCCTCCCAGAAAATGATGCTTTATGAGCTCTCCCAGGCTGTGTTTCTGCTTAAAGATTGCTTTGTTATCTATAGCTCTCCTTAGAAACCTCCTTAGGTTTCTTGCCAGCATGTATCATTCCAAAAGTTCACAAAAGTCTGTCATTGGTATACTTTGTAACTGCATTAAAGCTATGATGGTGATCTGCTTTTACCTTCCATGTCTGCTCTTCTGTCATGTACTACTCAACCAACAAGAAGGACATTTACTTTGACTCCAAATCCAACTTTGGCTGCAGCTTCTTTTGTGTTTTCTTTTCAGTGAATTTATTCATTTCAATACAAAATCTAATTTCTTCTGTCTTTGTAGATGGTGGTCTGGTACCTGTTTCAAATTGTATCAGCGGTGAGCTGCATCCATAGAGCTGGGATACTGCATAGGTAATGAATGAAGAGAAGTTCAAAGAACTAGGGACCCATGGTTGGAAGAGGGTAAAATAGACAGTGCTTTCATGAGCATTTTTTCCACAGAATAAAATTTAGAGATGAAAGAATGACTAATGGTGGGTGTCATCCTTAGTTCCTGAGGTTAAACCATGTTTGTGCTATAGATACATCTTCCTAATGAGCTAAGCACTAATTAAGACTATTAGTGTTCATTTGTTAGTGAAAGCTGTAAACTTTAGAGTTCAATAAGTTCATGAACATGTCCCATGCTTACACAGGAAATTGTGTTAGGTTCATTAAAATGCAAAGCAGGTGAGCCACTCTGACAATTAGAAAGCACTCTTCTTTTGTGCTTACATTATTTATTTTTGTTTAAATAAAACATTCTTATTTTTCCTGTTAATGACAATCTATATTGTCATTATTTCCTAATCAAGGAATAAGGCCATTTTGAGACTGTCTAATCTGCAGACTTTTACTGAGTAAATCATTAACCAATGGAGATTAATTATAGTAGTCTTTTTGATAGTTGTTGAGTGGTGATTCTTGCTTGCTACTTTTTTTCTCAGAGCAATTAGTTTTATTACTATGAATTGTACACATTCTTCAGCAAGGGAAGCTGAAGAATGAACTAGCTTACTTTACGCTGATCATATATAAAACATATTTAGAAATGTAGCCTGTAAAGGCAGTGATGATACCATGCTACATTGCTTGCTGGGACTTAGAGTCTCTTTCCCTTGGTATGATAAAGACCCTGAAACTAATCAAAGGTAAGATAGCAAAATGACTTTCGTGTCTCTTGATCTGAAGCAGCTGTTTGCCAGAAAGTTGTGCTTAACAAAGGCAGCTTAGCCCAAAGGACTAAAGTGACATAGAACATGGTTTTTATCATCTTTCTCTCCCACCTTTCTGGGGATTCGTTGGTGTGGGAATCGTTCCTTTCTTTGGAGAGTTTAAAGATTCGAGTTGTTTGTTCTCTTTTGGATGTTAAAATACAGTGTGTTAGGGTGATAGTCTTTGCATTGAGACTTTGACTAGAGTCTCATAGAGGATCTGAGTAGTAACATGATAGTGCTTGTACTGCATTAATAGTGTCACTAGATTGGTTACTTTGAACTCTAAAGAAAGAAGATAAAAAAGAAACTAATACAGGGATTTAATGTGGATTTTTTTTTCAGAGATATAAAAACTTTAAATATTTTCCTAACTAAGGCAAATCTAATTAAACTTGGAGATTATGGGCTGGCAAAGAAACTTAATTCTGAGTACTCCATGGCTGAAACTGTAAGTATATATTGCCATTATATTAAGTTAGTGGTTTTTCCCTTTTCTTTCTACTGTAGGATATAGAAATTTTGCATCCTCTGTGGCATAGACTCTATGCCATCTAGTTTATATAATCCTAGACCTAGAATTGGAAAGGACCTTAAAGGCCATTGGGGCAGCCCCTCGTTTTACAGATGTGAAAACTAAAACGTACAGAGGTTAAGTGACTTGCCCAAAGTCATAAAATTAGTGTCAAAGGTAGGCTTTGAACTCAAATCCTCTTCCTTTGGAGCCAGTGCAATGCTATTTCCACAGCACTACATGTTTCACAGTCCTCAAGCCAGAATTTCGTAGTAATTCAGCCAGAGGCAAGTTTTCAGGAGTCTTTTTTCTTGTATTTGCAATGTCTTTTTAATGTTTCTACTTGCAGGAGTCTTTGTCCGTACACAGCCCTATTTTTACATTCCCCAGAATACCATCTAGTTATCATTGTTGTTCAGTCATTTCAGTCGTGTTTGGCTCTTTCTGACTCATTTGGGATTTTCTTAGATAAGATACTGGAGTGATTTACATTTCTGTCTCTAGCTCATTTTCCAGATGAGGAAACTAAGGCAAGCAAGGTTAAGTGACTTGCCCAGGATCACACAGTGAGTAAGTGTCTGAGGCCAGGTTGGAACTCAGGTCTTCCTGACTCCAGGCCTGGTGCTCTATCCACTTTGCCACCTAGCTGCCCTCCATCTAGTTATAAACTGATCTAAACTTTAAAAAGTTTTACTTTTTAAAAAAATTATTAATATCCTCCCCTTCCTAGGATCTTTGGCAATTTTCAATGTGTGTGTATTTTATATATGTGTGTATCCCCATATATGTATATGTAGGTATATATGTGTGTATACACACATACACACACACACACACAGAGTGGTGCTGTGGATCAAGGTGTTTGAAATCTCTCTGTGTCTTCTATTTCAAAGTTCCTAGCTCAAAGATAAACCATAAGGAACAAATGAAAACCAATATTTAGAAAACAGTCTATTTAGAAGCATTTGACATAGACTAAGCTATAGGTTCCCCATTCTACCTTGATCTCAAAGTAACATCTGTAAAAAAGATAGTGATTCCTATACTTTAGGAATTGTTTAGAATGTTCATCCTTGTAGGAGTCATAAACTCTATTGATCATTTCATTTTACAGTTGTTCAGTTGTTTCAGTCCTGTCTGACTCTTTATGACCCCATTTGGAGTTTTCTTGGCAAAGATACCGAAGTGGTTTGCCATTTCCTTCTCTCTCATTTTACAGATGAGGAAACTGAGGCACACAGGGTCATACAGCTAGTAAGTGTCTGAGGTCATATTTGAGCTCAGGTCTTCCTGACTCCTGGCCTGGTGCTCTATCCACTGTGCCGCCTAGCTGCATGGTCAGTTTACAGTGCTTCCTTTAAAAGAATTTTTTAAAATTTCAGTAAATTAAAATATCAGACAATTTCTAGACATCCACAGAAGTAATTGGAAACATTCTGGGGGTGAACTAGGTTTGCAAATCACTACTTTAGGGACTCAGACTGTTTTGGATGGTGACAGCCAGCTAGTGAGCTTGCAGGGAGAGAAAGACCATTATTGAGGCTTGAATTTATGGTTGCCTTTGATCAGTTAAAATTCAAGAAAAAAATTATATAGAAACAGAAAACTTATCATAACCTTTCTCTTCTAAGAAATTTCATCTGCCTTGCTGCCTCTTATTCATACCCTTCCCTCATCTTTACCCATTAAAATTCTACCCATCTTTTAAGACCTAACTAGAGTTGCCCCTCCTCTGAAACCTTCCCTGATTTGTCTAGTGCTAGAAAATTGGAAGTTCTCTTTCCTTTGCCTTTACCTAGAATTTTGTATATCTCTCATCTGCACTTACCACATTCTATTTTGTGTTATAGTTATTTGTGTTCCATATCACCTCTACTATGTCGTACACTCCACAAGATCAGGAACCTTATCTTTGTATCTTTTCCAGCATCGAATGGTGTTGTACTCATAGTAGGTACTTGTTTGTTGAGTTAAACTGAATAACAGCAAAAATAGTGACTCTCAAACTTAGTAAAAACAAGTCCATGCTGGAGCATTCCTATCTATTAGGATATGAAGGACTATATATTGATGGACCTAGAACATGTTTTCAGAACCATTCTAGTAGTTGAAAATACTTGTCAGAATAGGAGCAAATGAAGGAAGCTGGATTATTGGAGTAGATATAAAATTGGATTATCATAAAAGTTGCTTTGGAAACAGTGAATTTTAGTTAGAATAGCTATTAACTCCACCAAATCATTCTGTTCACCCCACTTTCAGCATTTTTTCCCTTTGATGAACTTTGAGCAAGTATAATTGTGTCTGTGAAGCTTGAAATGTAGCTTAAATGTTTAAGGGCCTCTGCATGATGGAAATGAACTCCTAGAGCACTTGGCCTCTCAGATGGTTTCACTACTTTCAGTAAGTTTGAACTGATGATATTTTTTCAGATGAGCCATATATATATATATATATATATATATAATATAAATGAATTCTATTTCTGATATTTTGTTTGAGGCTTCTAAAGTCATCTCCTGGAAAATCAAGTTTAACATTGAGCTTTTAGCAATAGGGAGCCTTAGGAAACCAGACTAATTAGAAAGTGATTTTTTTTTAATTCTGTTTTTTGTTTGTTTGTTTTTATTGTTCAGCTTGTGGGAACCCCATACTACATGTCTCCAGAACTCTGCCAAGGGGTGAAGTACAACTTCAAGTCTGATATCTGGGCAGTAGGCTGTGTTATTTTTGAGCTGCTCACCCTAAAGAGGACCTTTGATGCAACAGTAAGTTGTATGTTTTCACTATATAAAGGTGACAAAAGTTGGTTTACAGGGAAAAACTTCATTTGTCTATGAGACTCTAATTTTGTTAAATTTGTTCATTTTAGTGTGTGTGATATTGTGATGATAGCTCACTTTTGTGTGGTGCTTTATAGTTTACAAAAGATTTTCCTCATGACAACCCTGTGAGGTAAGTAGTATAATACAAGTATTATCATTTTATAGATGGTCACATCTACAAACAGGTATAAATTATAAAAATTAATTGAAGATGATGATGGGATGTTCCAGTTTGGGAAGCTAGGTCAGTTTTCTTTTGTTCTTAAATCACATTAATTTCTAAATATATACATTCATCCTTCCCTCCCAGAAGCAATTAGGCAGTTTAGTGGATGGAGCACCAGGTCTGGAGTTAGGAAGACCTTGTTACTTAGTGGCTGTGTGACCCTGGGTAAATCACATAACCCTGTTTGCCTCAATATCCTCATCTGTAAAATGATCTGGAGAAGGAAATGGCAAACTACTTCAGTATCTTTGCCAAGAAAATCCCAAATGGGGTCCCAAAGAGTTAGACCTGACTGAAACTACCAAACAGTGACAACAACCTTTCCTTTCCAGTGAGCTTTCCCTGGTGACAAAGATTTAAAAAGAAAAAACAGTTTAGTAAAACCAAACAAGATATCAGTGACTTCTGATGACATATTAGTCATTTCCATGTTCATAGTCTCCCCTTACTCTCTATATCCCAACTCTTTAGTAAAGAGAGGAAGGTATATTTTCTCATCGTTTCTATGACCAGGCTTGGTCATTTTAGCATTCAGTTTTTACTGTGCTTTCCATTTACAATGTTGTATTATTGTGTTTGTTGTTTTCCTGGTTCTGCTTACTTCACTACACATCAGTTCATTTAAGTTCTCCCAAGCTTCTCTGTATTCTTCATATTCATTATTTCTTACAGAATGGTAATACACAATATTCACATACCACAACTTTAGCCATTCCCTAACTGATGGGTACCTACTTTGTTTCCTACCACAAAAAAATGTTACTATTAATATTTTAGTACATGTGAGTCCTTTCTGTTTTGGACCTTCTTGGGACATATGCCTGGCAATAGGATCTCAAGCTCTGTCATTAGTATACTGTATGTACCTATCTTCCTCCTGGCCTTCTAGCATTGTCTTATTGCCAGTCTAGTGTGAGATGAAACCTTAGAGTTGTTTTAATGGGTATTTCTCTTATTATTAGTGTTTGGAAGAGAGTGAAATGGTTTGCAGTTCTTTTTTTGAGAATTGTTTGTTTATATCCCTTAACAACATGTAAACTAAGAAATACTGCATCTCAAAAACACTGAGGTTTCCAGTATAAAAATCCATATCAAATATGAACTTGAATGGTATTACTACAATAGTCAGTGAATTACTAGTCATTATAATTCTTTATTTTTCCATGACTTGAGTTCCCCATGGAGAGCAGTATGCCCAAATAATTAATATGAGGAACTTGGAGTTTGTAGACCTGGGTTTTAGATCTAGCCTGGTACTGAGCAAATCGTTTAATGCTTCACTACCTAGTTTAAGTGGAAATTTTAACAACCACGGAGAGACTGAAAAATTCAAACCATTTTCATCAGTGTTTATGGAAAGGAGAAAAAAATAATTTTCTGTCTACTAGTGTTCAAGACAATATGTTCTCATGCTTAATAGTCTCCTAATAACCATAATGCCCTGAAATCCAATTCCTACTATTATAATTTTTGCTTTGTTTTGGACAAAACCATCTCATCATTCCAATAGTTGTCTTATTTTGTGAATTAACATTTTTACTTTGAGTCATTTCCTCTTTAGTAATTCATTATCTCCCTTGTTCAACATCTTTCTTGTATGTTGAGTCTTGATATTTATCTACCCAGAATCATTGCCTTACCTACTACAACCAAGTACAAAATCACTAACAGGGTAAAGGGGCCACTGGAGGCAAAGAAACGTGGTTGTTCTGTGTTCTCTTTTCATTTGGCTCTGATTATGGTATATCCTGAGTTATGCTTTCTATCCCTCATGTCCAGAATTTTTGGTTTGACTCTTCTACCTTGGCTTGTCATGATTTTCTTCTCATTTATGTGTCTAGTTAGTTCAGTTGCAGTATTGTGATTTTGAGGTCCTTAGGTAAGGTTTTTGTTCCTCATGTTGGTCAGCTAGCAACATTCATGTAATGGTCAAGCATACCTCTGACTCTGACCAGGTATCTTAGAAATGCATTCTAGTGGCTTAAAAGCGGTATTGGGTAAGAAAAGAAAAGAAAAATTGGGCATAAAACTGTTACCACTTCTTTAAAAAGATGACAAAATCAAAAAATTCAGTCTGTGTAGCATCGTTCTTTTGTACAGAAGATGACACATTCATCATTGACTCCTAGAATCCTCTTAATCTGTGTGTGAAGATTGTGCAAGGGATCCGTGCCATGGAAGTAGATTCCAGCCAGTATTCTTTAGAGTTGATTCAGATGGTTCATTCATGCCTTGATCAGGTGAGCGTGACTTGATTTCAGTTTGTCATCTTCTGTCTTATCCCCACAAACTGAGGCTAAGAACAACCAAGAGAGTGTTATGTGTGTGTGTGTGTGTGTGTGTGTGTGTGTGTGATATGCACACACGTATTCATACAGATACATATATGTGTGTGTGTTGTATATCTATGTGTGTATATAACCTATATTTGTATGTATTTGCACAAAAAAACACACTTTCCACTGAGCCCTATATGTTCATACCTGTACACAGAAGAAATTACAGTTTATGTACTGTGCCCTTCCACATCAAAAAAAAGTAGTAATGTTTTCCTGAGGGGATCAGTTTATCATTTTTTAAAATAATTTTTTATATTTTATTTTTAAAATCTTATTTAATATTTTATTTTTCCCCAATTACATATAACAACAATTTTAACATTCTTTTTTTTTCTAAATTTTGAATTGAGGGGGGTCAATTTAAATATACGTTTTAATACTTATCTGCTGCTCTGCAGGAATACAAAATATTTTACTTACAAAATATACATAAATCAAACTGCCTCCTGATATTGTTGATTTATTTGCTGTGAGTATTATTAACAAAGGCGAGTAAACCACCATTGACATACAGATGTAACTGGTGAAAAGTTGAGCCTGGTGTGTTGAATCTTTTCAAACCGACATGTCAGTGTTTAACAAATGACCTTTGACTATTGTTGAGCCCTTCTTAAGTGCAAGTAAAATACTGAATCTAGCGCTTCCTTGAAAACGAACCCTCTCTTCATTTTTTTTCCCTCAGGACCCTGAGAAGAGGCCCACTGCTGATGAACTTCTGGGTTGTCCACTTCTCAGTAAGCGCAGGAGGTAAATACGCAAACAGGTCATTCTACTGCCTTTCTGTAAAATATTGATTGGGAAGAAACCTACTCAGAGAAGCCTAACTGAGCCACTCGAGTGCTTATGCTCAGTTTAAGATTTGTGTGTATGTATATCCTCTGATTTATGCCTGATTATCTCTTATGTCTAGAGTTTTAGTTTCTCACCAGAATTTCTACTGTGGTTGGTTGAAGGAAATCAAAGTCTTTCACATCTCTGGCTCATGTTTTTCCAAAAGTGTATTGATAAATCTGTAGTATTTTATCTGGAAGAGCTCTGTACTTCATACTTTTGAATCAAAAGGAATGAGAACTCAGTTTTCTGCTGCAAATTATGACAGGGCCATTATCTACTAGTATAAGGCATACCCTATGGAAAGTTCATAAAGTCATAGATTTAGAACAAACCTCTTATTTTACAGATAAAGAAACTGAGGCACAGAGAGGTTAAGTGATTTGCCACACAGTTAATACATGTCTGAGGTGGAATTTGCACCCAGTTCTTCATGACTACAGGTCTAGCACCCCATCTGCCATACCATGCTGCTTCTCCAGTAGCAAAAGTAGTCAAACTTTGTGATGGGGGAAGGTAGTGTTGCTCTGACCAGCATCATTTCACAATAACATCACTAATACATTTTTAATCTAATCCTACCATAAAGTTGTGAAATACATGATGATATTGTCCAATTGATCATTCAGTAATATCATTTATTGCATTATTCCCATGGAATTCATTGACCCTAGTAATGTCATTTCACCTACATTTTGTTTTTGTGGAACTCATTAACCATGTTCAACAGGTTATGCTTTTACATAGACTATATGATTTATGAAAGGATTCAGATTAATCATAGAGGCAGCCTGATTCTGTGGAAAGAGTACTGGCTTTAAAGTCAGAGAGACCTGGTTTCATATACTGGTTCTGCTATTTTTTACATATATGACCTTAAGCAAATCATGTAATCACTGTAGGACTCAGTTACCTCATCTGTGTAATGAAGGAGTTGGGGTAAATGACCTCCAAGATCTTTTCCATCTCTGAAGCTATAATCTTCTGGTAAAGTAGGAATCCAACAATGTCTGTAAAGGGTGTTATCACAAAGTAAATGTTGTCATCTTATTGTTTGATGTGTTTTTACCTTTCTCCTGGCAGGGAAATGGAGGAAAAAGTCACACTGCTTAATGGGCCAACAAAGAGACCAAGGTAACTGTACCACATTTAGTAGAGAATCTTATGAAGTAGGCTAATTTGCCTTCACCACCTCTCTGGTCTGTGCTTAGTCTGATGTCATTTGTTTTTTGCTTTTTGCCAGGAGATCTCATTAGCTTAACCTTCTGACATTCTTTTGTGACAAGGAACGTAGTATAGGTGGTCAAAATCCTATATGAGAGTGGGTATTACTAAAGTGAGATACCTTGGCCAAACTGTTACAAAGCTGCATTGCTAAAATCATCAAGTATGCTGTAACCAAGGATTAAGATTGTAATGTATTGATAGGAAGAAAACTGCCACATCCTCAAATACCCATAGTCAGTGGTTCTTTTCAGGGAAGAAACTAGAAGCATTCCATTTTGATTTAGTTGTGTTAAGTGAGTCCATGTTTTGTGGGTTTTTTGTGCAGGTCAAGTACTGTGAATGAGACTCCCATTGCAGTGGTAACATCACGGACAAGTGAGGTTTATGTTTGGGGAGGTGGAAAATCCACTCCCCAGAAGCTAGATGTCATCAAGAGTGGATGTAGTGCCCGGCAGGTGTGTGCAGGCAATACCCACTTTGCTGTGGTGACAGTGGAGAAGGAGTTATACACCTGGGTGGTAAGTGAGAGAAACTCTTCTCTAGTCTGGCATGCTAAGTAGAGATATCATCTGGACAAAACGTGCCCTAGTATCTTGTTGGAAAGACCTTTGTTATGGGGTCCTAGAATTAGAAATCAGAAATTCTGAAAATTTGAGTGATTAAGGAAGACTAGAGAGAGACTGGGCATGAATTGAGGGAGACTATGCCTTTTAAAGGGAGGTTCTATCATTGTGGACTGAGAAGTTGCAGATATTCATCAGAGAGGTAGCCTCCTGACCACACTTTGAGACTGGTGGTAGGTTTTTTTTTTTTTAACCAAATGATTAGCACTGAAGAAAGGGCTCAAGAAAATTAACCTGCAAGGGACTGGACATTAATCTTATTATACACTTGGTTCCCTGCAATTATTTACTGGCAAAGAACAGAACCCATGTTTTATTGAAGCTGTGGGTGAAATTGTAAAGTATGTGTTAAGAGTTTCCAGGAATAATAAATAGTCCCCCTTAGCAAAATCAACAAGTAATTAAAACAACCAGAATGAAGTGGTTACTTTAAAAATGTGAGAACCCTCAGAAGATTGTACTGGATAAATCAGTAAAGGTTTCAGAAGAGTATTAGAGAAACAGTATTTGGGAGAAAGGAGGTAGGAATGGAAAGGGCTCTTGTGAAAATGTTTTTTAATAAGTGTTATTAGTTGACTGAGTAAAAGGAAATTATAAAAACAATAGTAAATTACACCTAATAGTGACAATAGATATACTAAATAATAATCTTAGAAGCACAGTCATGAAGCACTGAATACCTTTATTATTAGAAAGAGAAAAAATTAAGGAAGTCTGTACCTAAAAAACTTAGTGAAAAAAGCATAAACAAAAGAAAACCAAAAAAGAGTAGTATCCAAGATCAGAGTATATATCAATACAATTGAAAGTAAGAAAACATTTAATAAATAAATAAACCCAAGAGTTGGTTTATGAAAAGACACAAAAAACCTGCTTAACAATTAAGTCTAATTTTTTAAAAATACAAACCCAAATCATGAAAATTAGAAATGAGAAAGAGCCCAAGGAGGAAAAATAACAAGAACAAAAAAAAAATGATCCGATATTGAAATCTGTGCTAATAAATTTGAGAATCTTAAAAAAAAATTAAAAAAAGAAATAATCTTTAAAAATCTAAAATTCCAAATTAACATAAGAAGTGAACAGTCTAAGAAGCCCAGTCTCAGAAGAAGTTATCAGACAGACCATTAAAGAACTGCCAGGCAATAAGATTCCAACCCTGGACAGATTTCACAAGTGAATTTCTGCCAAACAAGCCTCCATGGATGAATGAATGAAAAAAGCATTGATGAAGCACTTTGTTCAAAGCACTGTGCTAAGGGCTGGGGATATAAATAGAAAAATAAGGCAGTCCCTTTTCTCAGAGGGCTCTCATTCTAAAAGGGGAGACAACTCATATGGAAGGTTTCAGCTACAAGTCAGATGGAAAGGGCCCATGGTCTTTAGGTTGCAGCAGTAAAGCAAATGGTAATGTCTCTTCTTTAATGTCATTTCCATTGATAAAATCATTTCCGTTTCTGATGTTGAGCCATTTGACAATGCTGAGGACTCTCAAGTTAATGAACTTACTGTATTTGATGGTGTTGTGCCCTTAACCTAATGAAGGTGAAGCTAAGAAAGAAAACCACAGACTAATATCACTACTGAGTATCAACACAAAAATACTAAATAAAAACACAGAAAGAGACTACAGCTCAAAAATTATCCATCATGACTAACTACGATATATAAATGCAGTTAAAGGATTGTTTTCCTGCTATTAAACTGCCAACTGCCAATCTAGTCAATAAGAAAAATGAAGACTACTTGATCATATCATTAGCTACAGAGAAAGCTTTTTGATTAAACTTAATGTTCAAGCTAAAATAATTAAAATTATAGGTATAGAAAATTCTTGTTCATCATAATGATTTTAAAGCATGTATTTGAAACCACAAGCTAACAGTGGAGGAAGAGTACTCTTCCTATTAAAAGTAGGCATTAAATAGGGAATTCAGTACACTGTGTGGTATAGTTTTAGAAATCTTAGCAACAGAACATAAAAAAGAAATTAAGGGAATAAGCATTGGCAGTTGTTTTTTAAAACTTCTTCACACAAAACATGATTTTCGGTATCTAGAAAACCCAAGATCAGGAACTAGAAATTAGCAGAGAATCTACTTGTTCTGCTTAGCCCCAGGCTATAGAACTAGGAACAATGAGGAGAGGTTACAAAGAGGCTGTTTAGACTATATGAGGAAATGTTAGTGAATGCATGACTTCGGACTTCAGAAGACAGTGGGTTTCTTCTTACTAGAGACAGTCAGATAAAGGCTGCCTGACCACTTACTGGCTCTGTTGTAGGGGGAGTTCTTTTTCAAGTATAAGTTTGTCTAGAGAGCCCAAGAGGTGTCTTCCAACTCTGAGGTTTTATAATTTCTAAAACAAGAGTGTTTTTCTCTCATCATCTATAGTGCATTTTTTAGCTTCTTGCCTTGGAAATGATAATGAGGGGCTGAAGACTTGGTGATCTCATCAGATCCCATGGATGTAATTATCATCTCTTTGCTGATAGGTAGATTATCAAATCTACAATTATACCTTCCACATCAAGGCTTTCCTGCTTCGACATATCACAGGTTGGCATAAGAAATTAAATGGGAATTTTGAGGGAGTCTTGTGGAAGCTGCAGATGACACACGAAGGTCAGCAGATGACAGAAAAAGTTTAGAACCTCAAAAATACATAAAATATATGTATGGTATTATATAATATCAACAAATTTTATTTTTTAATATTATAATCAGCCCATAAAAGAAAAAGAAAAAATTCAGACTTCTCTGGCATGAAGGGAGGGCCAAAAAATTTTACCCAGATTTTCCAGATCACAGGGGCACTGCACCCTTAACCACCGTTACGTGAAAGGGATAACTGTACCTATCCTTCCCTAGCCTTTCTGCTGACCTCCAATCTCTTGTCTCCATCTGCCTTTCAGATATCTTGAATTGGATATCCAGACATTTTTAATTGAACATCAATGGAACTCATTTGTTGTCCTACTAAAAGCCCTCCTTCCCTATTCTCCTCTCCATCCTCACCCCCACCCCTACCCCTTCCCTTATTACTTTAGAGGGCACCACCATCTTCTCAGTACCACAAGGCTGGCAACTTATTAGTCATCCTGTATTTCTCCCTATTTCTTAACCCCCCCCACATCCAGTCTTGCCAAGACCTGTTGATTTCACCTCTGCAATAGGCCCCCTTCTCTCCTCTTACACTGCCACCACTTTAGTACACAACCTCATCACCTCATACCTGTATTATTGTGATTGCCTACTAATGGGTCCGCCTGCCTCAAGTCTCTCCTCATTCCAGTCCATCCTCCATTTGGCCACTGAAATGATTTTCCTAAAGCACAGGTCTGACCATGTCATTTCCTATTTAATAAACTTCAGTGGCTCCCTGTCACCTCCGGGATCAAATACAGAATGCTTTATAACATAGTCCCCTCCTACCTTTACAGTCTTTTTATATCTTATTTCCTTCCATGTACTCTTCGATCCAGTGACACTGGTCTCCTGACTGTTTGACACGTGAAATGCTCCATCTCTCAGTTCTGACGTTTTCTCTGGCTGGCCCCCATGCCTGGAATGCTCTCCTTTCTTATTACTGCCCCCTGGCTTCCCTTGCTTCCTTCAAGCCCTAGTTAAACCTTCTATAGGAAACTTTTCCTGACCCTTCTTAATTCTAGTGCCTTCCTCTGTTAATTATTTCCTATTTATCCTGTTTATACTTTGCTTTGTATATATTTGTTTCTATATTGTCTCCCCCATTAAATTGTAAGCTCCTTGAGGGGAAGGACTGTCTTTTGCCTCTTTTCATATCCCCAGAGCTTAGCACAGTGCCTATCACGTAGTAGGTGCTTAGTAAATGTTGATTGATTGATTTATTGATTGATTGAGACATTGGCTTCTTCAGGCTTATTAACAGCAAGTAGCTAGGGGTTGTTTTAAAACCTCTGTCTTGACCCTTTGGTAGGAGTTTATACTAACATAAAAGGGTTTTTACCTCTTACTCTCTTTTAAGTTTATAAGTATCTGGTTCTTCCTATTTTTTTCCAAAATTTTCTTAAGTCAGGGCTAAAGATACCAAACTTAAGCCTCACAAGATTTGTGTGTGTGTATGTGTGTTATAGAATATGCAAGGGGGCACCAAACTTCATGGGCAACTGGGCCACGGAGACAAAGCTTCCTATCGACAGCCAAAGCATGTAGAAAAGTTGCAAGGCAAAGCTATCCATCAGGTGTCTTGCGGAGATGACTTTACTGTATGTGTCACAGGTAAGACACAGCATCACTATTCTTTTTCTTTGTCATTGGCATCGTCATCATTGTTTTCCAACAGCATTTCTCATGTACCTTTGTAGTACTGTGCTAAATTCTGCATGGGTTTTGTTAGAGTACCGTCTAGGAGTTAACTACCCTTTAGTTAGCAGCTATGTAAATAGACACAGAGGACATATGTAGACATATAAAAAGCATTAAGTGAGGACACAGTCTATGTTGAGTTGTATGGTTTGAATAGGAATGTGTGCATTATACAGTGAATAGGAAAGGTATGGAGATTACTGGTATAGAATGAATAGCATCAGGGTATTTTGTTCACTTTCTGCCACCTAGTGAAGGAGTGAAAAAAGTGGTGGAATTTTAGCCTAAAAAGTCCCCTTTCACAGAGCTTTTCAGGTAGAAACTTTCTGTTCAGAAATATAATCCAGTTTGTTTTTTAAGATTATGATAATCCCAAGTAGAGCAGAATCAAAAAAACTGAGTTACGTTTATAGCTTTGTCACTAACTACTTTTATGATTTTTGCTTTCTTTATATTAACCTTTAGTGCCTCTGTTTTCTTATCTGTAGTGTGAGGCCCTAATATAATTGTCTTATAATTGACTATTATTTTTTTATAATTTTAAAAATAGTGATATTCTATATGTCTTATTCTGTTTATCATCTCTTGTCATCCTTTAAACAGATAGTAGCCCTTAAACACACTGAGGTTCTTTTCCCTTCTTTGAGTTGCACAGTCCTCATTTGTCAAATGGGGAGGTCAGACAATATGATCTTTCTAAGGCCTCCTTCAGCTCTCACGTTCTTGGATTTCGATAATTGACCAGCTCTTCTCATTCGAGCCCTGCCTTGCTTCCTGGTAAGGCAAAGGAATTTAGAACACTGATGCCTTTTCCTTTTCTTCCTTTGGCAGATGAAGGTCAGCTTTATGCCTTTGGATCAGATTATTATGGTTGCATGGGTGTAGACAAGGTTGCCGGGCCTGAGGTACTAGAGCCCATGCAGGTAGACTTCTTCCTTAACAATCCAGTGGAGCAGGTCTCCTGTGGAGATAATCACGTGGCAGTTCTGACACGAAATAAAGAAGTCTATTCATGGGGCTGTGGAGAATACGGTAGGTAGAGCTGTGGCTGTAGCCACTTGTGCATGTATATGTAACCTGACTTTAAGCTTGCTTGATGTCCTCTTTTGGACTAGTTGTATTAGAACTGTGTGGGATGAAGGTTATCCCTGGATGGTCTTTGGAAATTTTATTCAGTTTGTGGTGCCTGGAATCCCTATCACTCCTTATGCTTTTAAAACCTCGGAGTCTAACAAATAAACTATTCCATCCAACCAACCTCTTTGAGAAATCAGTTCGTTCTATAGAGGAAATTTCTGTAGAAAACTTTCATTGGGCCTGTGTTTTGACTAATTTTGTTTTCTTCTATTTTTTCTTTGTTATAGGACGACTGGGTTTGGATTCAGAAGAAGATTATTACACACCACAGAAGGTAAAATTTATATCGGCTTTTTCTGAAAATCTTATCTAAATCACAGATTCCAGTAATCTGACTTCTCTCCCTAACTCCTTTGCTAGTTTATCATGTGGATATTCCCCACGGTTCTGTTCTGGTTCTTTTTCCCCTCCCCCAGTATATTCTCTGTGTTGGTAACTTCATTAGTTCCTATGGGTTTAACTGTTGTTTTTATGGAGATGACTCCCAGATCTATATATTAGTCATCATTCTCCCCCCAGTTTCAGTCTTACTGGATATCTCAGAGACGTTTTAAACTCAGTATACCTAAAGCTCAACTTTTATCTTTCCCCCAAACCCTCCCCTTGTCCATACTTCCTTGTTTCTTTTGATATCATTCAAGTGTCTGAGTGTAATCTCAGCATTGTCCTCAACTCCTCACCCTCCCTTATCCTATATATTTAATAAGTTGCCAAACCCTACTGTTTCTGCTTTTTATAACATGTCTCACATCTGACCCTTTTTCTGCATGTACTCGGCTACCACCTTAATTCAGACCCTTATAACTTCTCATTTAGATTATTACAACAGCATCTAATTTATTTTCCTTTTAGTCTCTCACCACTCCAGCATCTTCTGCATGCTGCTACCAAAGTGATTTTCCTTAAACACAAATCTGACAATGTGACATCCCTTCTCAGCCAACTCCAGTGGCTTCCTATTAATTCTGGAATAAAATACAAACTCTTCTTTAGCTTTTAAACCCCCGTACTATCTAACCCCAACCTGTCTTTACAGCCTCATTGCATATTACTCTCCCTCCCATACTCTGTGATCCATCCAAACTAGCCTTCTCTCTGTTGCTCACTTACAACACCCCATCTCCCATCTCTGCACTGGCCATCACATATATAGATGTACTTGTCTTCTCTATTAGAGAAGCTATTTTAAGCTCATTGCTAGTAAAAATCTTTTTATTCTTCATACTTCTGGCCCCAGTGCCTAGCACAATACTTGGCACATAGTAGGTGCTTAATAATATTTGTTGATTGAGCCTTCCACTGTACTCCTGCCCCATAGTAGTACATTATCATTCTTGCAGACAGTCATAAATTCCAGAGAGGGATGAGAAGGAGTCACTTCAGAGTACTCATGAAATGGGCAGTCATCACTGTGTTCCTTGAATTTAAAGGAGCCAACCACAGGATTTTGCACTCTGGTGGGACCACCCTAGTGTTCTGTACGACTGGTTACATCATTATTCTTTAATCATTTCTTCCCCATTTTTATGCATTCAAGAGTAGGACTGTGATTCTGAGCTTTTGTTTTGTTGAGGTCTGGGGTTTTCATGTCCATCCATTTTGTATTGTCCGGTATGTTTCTACCATTCCAGAGCTGCTAAAGGATACTATTCCATGTGGAGTGATTTGAGTACAGGAAAACAGGGGCTATGTTATTTTCTCTTTATCTGTCATCTTGCTTGTAAAATGACTAAATTTGGATTCTGTAAAGTAACATAAATTATCTGTAGACCTATTATGTTGTTTCTAAATTCTTATTCAGGTCAAGGGGAGAAAGCATAGAATCATCCCATATCATCCCAGAGCTGTTGTAACACCTGCAAAAGACACTTAATAGCAGTAGGCTTAGTAATGGTCTAATTCAATTAAACTGTCAACCTCTTTGATTTATATTTTAGAATTTGGGCTCTTTGTTAAAAAATAGTAGCTAATAAACTACAAAACAGATCTGAGGAGAAATAGTACCATCATTTCTTTCCGGTAGCTGCACCAGAGTGAGTTTGAGGCAGTTTGAAGTTTCATTACATAGTTAAATTAATTCATGTATACTTGGGATTTTTCTGATTTGTTCATGTAGGTAGATGTGCCTAAGGCCTTGATTATTGTCTCAGTTCAGTGCAGCTGTGATGGAACGTTTCTTCTAACACAGTCAGGCAAAGTGCTGGCATGTGGACTCAACGAATTCAACAAACTGGGCCTGAACCAATGCATGTCTGGCATCATCAACCACGACGTGAGTGCTGCTCATCACCATCTTATCTACAGTGTCACAACTTCTCTAGGTCGGAATTTCTTTAGAATTTCTGTAATTTATAACTAGACAATTAGAGTTACAAGAGATGAGGCAAAACCTCCCCTATATCAAGTGAAGAAATTCAAGTTCTTCCTTTTTTCTGAACCAGGGACAGATATATCAGAATTATAAAAAGAAATATTTTGATGTTGCACTTATAAGATTTATGCCCAGAAAGTGCTGCTCCTTCTTTTTACTAGGTCAGATCACCGAAAAATTAAACTGGGAATTAAATTAGATCTCTAACTCAAGCTTGTCTAATCATTGCTGGCCTGCAATGTTTTGACCTGCTTATCTTTGTACATATATCTTCTCAGGGTTTAGTTAATGACATTTTCTTAAGAATTTGGGTTAGTCTTCAGCAGCTCTATGGCCCACTGTTTGTTTCGTTAATAATAGGTCTTGAGGACTTTCTAAAATATTGAAATAATAGCTTTTAGATTGTAGATCTGAGAGGGAGCTCAAGAGTTTCTTGTAAGACTGTACTAGTTACACATCCTAGCTATAAGCTGGTGGTTCTCTTTTTAAATATCTCCTGTGAGGGGGATTTTATCCCATCTACATTATACCTAGGTATACAGTATACCTATACCAAAGGGCCAATTAAAATCAAATGAAATAATAATTGTGAAGCATTTTATAAACCTTAAAGCCCTGTATCAGTGCCAGCTGCTGTTATCGTTCAATAGCCCCGTTAAATTCTCTGACCTCAGTTTAAGCCTATTTCTCTTTTTGCCTCCATCAGAGATAGATGATAACTAGCTATTGTCTACCTTGTAATAACTTCATCTGCTTGAAGGCCATTGATAAATACTATTTAGTCTTCTGTCTTCTGGTATATGTAATCCCCCTTCTTTCTCCCTAGGTCGTTGGCTTATGTTTTATAAAACTCTTGTTTCAGGCTTACCATGAAGTTCCCTACACAACTTCATTTACTTTGGCCAAGCAATTGTCATTTTACAAGATCCGAACCATTGCCCCAGGCAAGACTCACACTGCAGCTATTGATGGTGAGATGACTTTCCAATCTGTATCATTTGCAAGGATCCCTCACCTTCACCAGAAGTACTTGTCAATACCATGTAAACTTGCCTACTTTTATGTCCGTATCACTAGATTTAGTACAGTGTCGTATGCACTTAGGTGTTTTTTGATGAGGATCCATTTACCTCATATACGTCTCTTAATGAAGGATCCATATTTATTCTTCCAGACACCATCTCTTCCTTGGTTGTGGTAGTGGTTTTGCATTTCCTGCAGTTGCTACTGAATGAGTTCTTAATGCTTTTGGTGTCACTCTTTGGTTCTCTGGGGAACCCTATGGACCCTTTCTCAGAATGTTTTTAAATTCATAAAATAAAATACACAGTATTACATGGGAAGTCAATTATATTGAAATACAATTATGAAAATATTTTTAAAAAACAAGTTCATGGACCCCAGGTTAAGAACTCCTGCTCTAGAAAGTTCCAGTCTTTAAAAATACAACATTGGGAGGCTCATTTTATCACCTTCTCTAAGTTGTCTCAATATTTGTATAACTTAACTGTCTGAGGTTTAAGGTTCAGAATAATGTAGCTGTTTCTATATTTCTCATGTTGAAAAACCAGAAAATAGACCACTGAACTCTGCACAGTCTTCATTTTAGCATTTATACGCTGACCATGTTGTGTTGCTTTCCTCTTAGAACGGGGTCGCCTGTTGACCTTTGGTTGCAACAAGTGTGGCCAACTTGGAGTGGGGAATTATAAGAAGCGCCTGGGAATTAACCTGTTGGGGGGACCCCTTGGGGGGGAAGCAGGTGATCAGAGTGTCTTGTGGTGATGAATTTACCATCGCTGCTACTGATGGTAAGTATAGATATTGTGGCATATACTTAATTCCAAGAGATTATTTGATATCTTTGCCCTGATTGTTAGGTTATTTGAACAGTGAGGTTTTTTTTTGGTTTTTTGACTCCTCACTTATCTTTGTAAAATGTAATAGGCATGTTATTGCAACTTTTATTTTTGATGGCTATCTTTCTAAACTTATTATAATATACTTCCTTGACTTAATCAACAAAGTATAGTTAAAGAATCTGTAATTTCATTGGTGTGGGAACTTCCTCCACCAAATATATGTTGCAACCTTTATATGCCTTAGGTGCCGGTCTTCTTGAGTTGGTATGGCTGAAAACTTCCTCACCTGGTGGTCTGTCTAGTGAGGAGCGCCTCCAGGCTTCCCTAGGCTGCTTCTTGGAGTTTCGTCTATGTACATAGCATTTCCAACTCAGCAGACTGACTCAAGCTTTTGTCTCATTGGCCTCCCTGTAAGAATCCAGTGTCATTTTCACCCCTTGCTGAGGCATCAAGTTAGGCTTTTAGCATACTGAAACCAACTTAACCTTGAATGGCTATGGCCACCTGTATATAATGCATTAGGTGCACTTAGGCCCTGTTGAGTGTGGAGAATTGCTTGTCTTTACACTAGATTCCCTCAGAACACCCTTTGGTTCTAGTTGTTTTTTCTTCCCTCTCCCCTCTATAGGTGTTTTCTGCAGGCACTTCTTCCCATTGTTAATGCGTCTAACCATTGACCTTGTGTTGTCCTGTATTCTCTTCCCTTCTTTTTCTTCCACTTTACTTTTTCCTTTTAACTTAATATCTTCTCTCTACTTTTCCTGCTGCTTTTGACTTCCTAGCCACTTCTTCCAGTTGCTAAACAGATCACATTGCAAGCTTTTTAATTGTCTGGTCTTTGCATTTCTTTGCATTTGTTGCAATTTATGATCTTTAATTGCTTCTGGATTTGTGGCCATTCTTTTCAGTTGAGGGTTATAGATGGCAACATTCCAAATAAGTAGGGCTTTAATGGATGAACAGACTTCTGAATGAAAATATTTCATACTGATTCAAAAGGGTTAGATTTGGGAATATTTAAGAAGCAACCTTGGAGGACTTTTTTGAGGATGCCCTAGAGAAACTGAGATTATTCAGAGGGCACAGTTGAGGAGCAAGAGAAATGAGCAGTAGTAAAACACAAACCCAGTGCAAAGAGTTTTGGTTAAGATTTTCTCTTTGATCCACTGATATTTTTAGACAGGATTTCGACATATGATTTTGCCTCTCAATTGGTATGTACTCCCAGAATTAGAGAATGTAGAGCAGCATTTTCCAACTTGGCATCTCTCTCTTTGTGACTATTTCTGGAAGTTTTTTGTCATACACTAGATAGTGTTTTTAGGGGGAAAAAAATTTCCAACATAAGAACATTGATAAGTGCCATGCTCAGTCATGATTCCAGAGGATCAATGATGAAGCATGCTACCCGCCTCCTGAGAGAGAAGTGATGGACTCAGTAAGCAAAATTGAGACATTTTTGTACATGACCAGTGTGGGAATTTGTTTTGTTAACTATGCATGTATGTTATTAGGATTTGGGGTTTTGCTTGTTTTGGGTGTCTTTTTCCCTTTTTTGTATCACCAGTGCTTGAGGATGATGCCTGGCCCATAATAGATGCTTAATAAATGCCTATTGACTGACTTAGGGGAAGTGAGAGGGAGAAAAAAATAAATGTTTCCTAATTTAAAAAAAATTCATTAAGAAAAGAAAGAAGCTTTCCTTTGTTTAGTTCTGAGAGAGCTCTAGCAGGACAGATGAAAAATGAGGAACCCAATTGTGTAAATGGAAAATGTCGCAAAACAAGATAGCTTATAGGAGTTACTGAAAAAGTAATAACGGTGAAGGTAGAAAAAGAAAGAAAGCAAACCTAAAGAAAAGTATTTCTGAAGAAAGTAGAGGTAAAGAGATACAAATACAGTTATCCCTTCCACATTGTGATTTTCCACATTGTGATTTTCCCAATTGCGGTTTTGATATATCTTGGATTGTCATAAGAAATTAAATGGGAGTTTTGGGGGAGTTTTGTGGAAGCCACAGACAACACGTGAAGACCCATAGATGACACAGAAAAAGTTTAGAAACATAAAAATTTCAACAAAAAAAAATTTATAAAGTTTAGTGGATAAAATATAGGTATAGTATTGTATAATATCAACATATTTTATATTTTAATACCATAATTTCAGACTTCTTCTCTGGTGCAAAGGGAGGGCCAACTTACTTGGATTTTCTAGATTGCTGGTGGGAGGGGAAGTGATTGGGGGGGGTTCCCTGCTCCTAACCCCTGAGATGTAGAAGGGATAACTGTAAAGATTTAAAAAAAAAGAAGAAGAAGAAGAAGAAGAAGAATGAGGAACCAGGGGTAGAGGTTGGTAGCTTGTTTAATCTCTCTTTTCTTACACATTTTTTTCTTCCAGATAACCACATTTTTGCTTGGGGAAATGGTGGGAACGGCCGCTTAGCAATGACTCCCACAGAGAGACCTCATGGCTCTGATATATGTACCTCGTGGCCTCGGCCTATTTTTGGATCTCTACATCACATCCCAGATCTGTCTTGCCGTGGCTGGCACACCATTCTCATTGTTGGTAAGGGTTTGATACATGTGAAAAATGAGACATAAATGGAACAGGGACATAGGGATGCGTCTGGCAGGGCAAACCATCCATCTTTAAGGGGTCATTGCTGCATGTCCACTTTCCAAATAAGAAGGTTGTCCTGAGGAAGAGATAGGGCTATTAGTGGTTACTTCTTTTAATATGGTATGCTCATTGTACTCTTTTAGGCAGTTTTTTCTCAGCCATTTTTTAGGAAATATACTTTGGTGGGGGGAGGTATATATTGGGATGTGTTTATTGTATTTAAAAAATACCATTTTTAAAAACGTTTAAGAGCATATTCTCTGAAGCTTAAAAAAAAAACCACATAATGTAAGTTTGAAACTCCCAGAGCCCTCAGTGGGGATGGGACCTTTCCATTTCCTGACTTGGTGACCTGCTTCCACTTGACCTTTCTCCCACATGACACCTTTGGTCCCAGACCTCCTCTGACGCATTTCTCCTATGTTTTTAGAAGTGGTTCATTATTCAATATGTGATCTGTTTATATTCTCTAATTTAACAAATTAAATTAAAAAGAAACTTGAGATGGTAGTAAGCTGCTTTCTGTATAAAAAACATTTGGTAGTAGCTACAAAAACCAGTGTCAGGATCTGCTGGTTTGTTATTTTAAGCCTCTTTAGAAAAAATATTAGAAACTACTCCTAACTACCCCTCCTAAAACAAACAAACAAATTACATAAAGCAATCTGAAGTTAGAGATGTAGATTTGAGGGCTCTAGATAACTTCTTCAACTTTTAGTCTTTTTTTTTCAGTCTTATTATCTTCAGATATAGATATACATATATAGATACACATAAACATTTACATATATACACACATAATATATATATATATATATATATATATATATATCTTACAAAAAAAAATTCTTTTTCTCAGAGAAAGTGCTGAATTCTAAGACCATCCGTTCCAATAGCAGTGGCTTGTCGATAGGAACTGGTGAGTAACAAACTTTAGGCAGTAATTATTTCCTGAGGGGTACATCTTTGTGAAAGGATCTTCTAGGTATTCTCTGTCATTCACAAGAAAATGGGGAATTGGATTCATTGGGAGGTGGCGAGTGTGGTTGGTAGCTGAGAAGAATCAAAGAATGATTGACTTCATAGCTACATTGTATTTATTGTGGAAGGTTTAGTATTCCTAGCTTGGTAGAAAAATTCAGCTCTGCTTCTGCTTATCAAGTAGCTTCAGTGACCCATCCAGCATTGCTATGTGAAGAATGAATGAAGTATATTCTGTCCCTTTCCTTCCTAGTCTAAGTATTCCAGATTCTCGCTATCCTTTCTTCTGATAGACCCTGAAAGAATTTTTAGTTTATAGGAACATCTTCAAAATCGGTTCTTCTAATGAAAAATCCAGCTAAACCCAAAATACGCCTGGGAAATTCAGGCCAGTGCTATTTGATAGCTTCTTTTGAACTGCTTTATCCTTATTTCTTCTTTATTTGATACTGTGCCAAGAAACCGTTTTTTGTTCCTTTTGATTTCTACTTGTCGTAGTACCCCCCCTTAGGAGATATTCAGTTCAGCTCTTTAGACCACATGAAGAACAGTGACAGGATTCAGAGAAAGGCAGAAATGCAGTTGTTATTAGAATAGGACATGGTTTTAACAGATTTTTTGAGATGGAGAAGGGGCCATGGAGTAAGCTATTAATGATAGAAAAGGGGAATTCTGTTTATTTAGAGGCTGATACTTTAAAGGGAACATTTAGATTACTTTTGAGCACCAGAATATAAGCAGGTTTTTAAAATAGAGGAGAAATGAATCTTCATGTAGACATTGGATGAACAATAACTTTTTTAAAGAAACATTCAGTAAAAGGATGTCTCATCTACCTGCTAACCATTTATTTACTGATTGCCATTTCATCAGAGGTATGTAGCTTGTTTCTTAACAATCCTTTTCCAGTGTTAAGTGGATTCCCTAGGAGGACAGTTCTCCATTTCAGATAGCAAAGAAAACCCCCTCTTTCTGTGTCTTCTGTTGTCAGTGGCTCAGAACTCCACCCAAGGGGGAGGGGGCGGAGGAGAAGAGGAGGAGAGCCAACCGGAATCTGAGACCCCTGATCCAAGTGGAGGCTTCCGGGGAACAATGGAGGCAGACCGAGGAATGGGGGATTTAATCAGTCCAACTGAGGCCATGGGAATCAGCAGTGTGGGCAACAGTTCCTGCCCCGGCTGGCTGCGCAAGGTAATTGCTTTAGTGGAAGAATATGTTGCTTGTATTAAAGTTTGGATCTCCTACAAACACCTGAGAAAGACACTGTTACAGCCTTCCAGGACTAGTCATGTATCATTCAATTGTTTTATAGCAAGTTACTCTTTCTGATTTCTTTCTAAATGGTAAACCTCCCCTCTGGCATTTCTTCCTTGCCTAAAGGATATCTAAATATGAAGACGTGTGACTTGTTTTTATTAGTCTAGGCTATTCTTCTGAAAGTTGAAAGTAAGAGCAACATAGAGCACATATAGCCTCATCTTCTGTCAGTTGGATGCTTTCTCTCTACTGTTGCCAGAGTAAATGAGTTTCCAGACCTGAGTGAACTTGCATAGTGATGAGAAAGATGTAAAAGACCAGATTCCTAACATTACATCACCCTGTTCTCAGGAGCGGGTTTGACTGTCCATCACTGCTTGTCCTATTAAGGATAGAAAGGTTTGACGGATGAAGTACAACTAATAACCATGACTATCTCGTACCACTAGAGGGGGCAGATAGAAAGTAAATAGCTAAGGGAGAAGAGAATGTTGGAAGAAATGGGCTGTTGACAGCAGACCAACTAAGATACTTTTCTTGATACCTAGGAATTGGAAAATGCAGAGTTCATCCCCATGCCTGATAGCCCCTCACCCCTGAGTGCAGCTTTTTCAGAGCCTGAGAAAGATACCCTGCCCTACGAGGAGCTGCAAGGACTCAAAGTGGCCTCTGAAGCACCTGCAGAACGCAGGTCTACAAGAGAAACCTGGGTAATGAAGCTTTTTTATTTGAGTTGCAACTTGATAAACAGTGACTACATTCTCCCCTTAAATTCTGACTGTATGCCTTCACTGCCCCATAGCAGTTTAGCACATTCTATATTTCTCATTCAATAACTCCTAAAACCATTACTTAGAGCAAATGCTAATGGCTTTTAATGGTAAGTTATCTTAGCAGATTCAGAAGTACCAACATAAAACCCATCTTTGTCATCATTTAATATTTGTTTATCAGTCATGGGAAGCATGATGTAGCCTAAAATTCCAAGGTTTCAGTAATTGAGTTCTTTAGCAATACTGTTTGCTGACATCTTAAAGTATGACCAGAATTGTCTCATAGATATTACATTTGGAGGTTCTGCAGCCTCCATGCTTATGATGCAGCCAAAAAGATTTGTCCCATCTAACTTTAGCATTTCAGACAACATCTCGGTGTACTTAGAAAGCTTGTTTGAAGGCCAGTCATTGTTACTTCTCATTATTGGATAGGGATCGGAGGTGCTTAAAGTAAGAGCAACTAAGTTAGAAGATGATGTGGCACAACCAAGTTCTCTGTTCATCTCCCATTGCTTCCTGAAGTTCTTCTTACATAGAAGCTTTAATCCTGTAACTTACGGCATAATCTGTTAAGTTCATTTAGAGGAAGATGAGATAGTTTCATGTTTGTTTATTTTTTAAAAAGGGAATTATGTGAGCTAAGCATGAGAAGGTAATATTAGATTTCCTGTTTCATTCCTTGCTTCTGTAGCTCCCCCGGCTTAATCCAGCACTAGGATGTGCTGGAAAGGGAGCACCATTGGGTGCTGCCTGTGTTTGTAGCAGCCTGCAGGTGGAGGTGGACCGGCTGGAAGGTCTGGTGTTAAAGTGTTTGGCTGAACAGCAGAGACTGCAGCAGGAAAATCTCAAGATTTGGACCCAACTCCAAAGGCTCAACAAAGAGACAGAAGGAGTGCAGAAGGTAAGAATATTTGATGAGGTATAGGTAATTTCTGTGCCTACTTTGAGGCCTCAGCAATCAGATGATCCTCCTATGTGCCCCGGTTGTAAGGAAGTGATGATGTATGTGGCTGGGTTTTTCATCTTTTCTGAGTGACTTTCAGATTATTGAAGGGCGTACCATTATTGATACTCACTAATCTTTCAAAACACCGGGGATCTCAATAAACAGGTTTCTTTTGAGGCACTTTCCCATAACTTCCATGTTCTGTCTATAGAACTTCCATAACTTCTAAGTGATGGAGCTTGTACAGTTAACCACTGAAGCCAGGATAGGCAGTTTGGTTTAGTTGAGTTCATTGCCATTATTTGACATTGTTTTTGAGGAGTGTTGTACAAGCATAAGTGAGCATGAGGTGACTGACAGACAAAACTGTGACAGAAGAAAGGTGATGTTGAAACAGCCTAGAAGAATAGGTTTAGAGCCATTGTAACTTTAGAGTACCTTGCAAAACTGAGACAAGGTTATTAGGAATTAGCATTAGAAGAATGTTCTCATAAACCAGCAACGTGACAATGCATCGCTAACACAACACTTTTATCTGAATAGTTGGAGACTCATTCCAAAGGAACTCAGACAGCAAAGGAAGAGATGGAAACAGATCCAAAACCAGACTTGGATTCAGATTCCTGGTGCCTTTTGGGAACAGATTCCTGTCGGTCCAGCCTTTAGTTTCCTGATCCCGTGCATCCCCAGTGAGACGGGATCCCTGCAACTTCACAGCACACTTACTGAATGCAGAGAACGGCTTTCCTGGCTTCGTTTCAGTTGCTGACAAGGAGCAAAGCAGGAGGCTCTGAAGGGCCTCTAGAGTACAGATGGAGGGAAGCATCTCCTTTTAGATAGGAACTAGGAGTGTTTGTCGTTTGTTTTGTTTTATTTTTTTGAGGGGGAAAGGCCCAGTGTCCCTGGCTTTGCCTTCAGTGACTGCCGCAGCAACAGCAGCTCTGTACCTCATCTGTTGATCCCACCTGTAAAGAAGAGAAACAGCCCTGTCATGCTATTTGCACAGGTAGCCCCTTATACCCGTTTGTAATTTTCACCACTTGTTGGGAGCTACCTTGGGAGCCCAGCACCAATCACTGTACTTCTAGGTGGAGGAGGGGAAAGTGGAAAGCTTGCGAGAGCTTGTTAGGACTAGCTGGCTGGCTGTAACGGGGTCCTAGTCCTGCCAAAGTCAGCTTAAAAGATGGCAAAGTGTTTTGTGCCATCTCGGAGACAGAGTCTGAGGAAAAGAAGTTTTACAGACTAGTTTTTGGCTTATTTTCATAGAGTTGAAATACTCACATGCAGCTCAATATTGGAGGGAAGAGGGTCTCGATTGATATTTGCTCTGGAAGTTGACTGGGATTTCTCTGGTGAGAATTAAAGAAGGGCAGGCCTCTCCTTATTACATAGTCATACTCTTGGTGCATAATGCTGGAGCTTCTGCACTGTGGATGAGGCAGGAAGAGACTCATAGCCTTGAAAAGGGACCTCCTGAAGTGATGTTACTTCTTTGACTATTGAAAACATTGGAGAAATGATAGTCTCCTCAAGACTAAGTCACAAGGGAAAAGAGGTCCTCTGATGACATTGTCCTCAGCAGCTGTGCTTGACTCCTTAGAGACTGCTGATGACTGCCATGGCTCCTTCTCTTATGAGGAGGCCCTTTCCTGCTTCTGCCTTCACAGCTTGTTTTTGTTCTGATCTTGGCACCAGTAGCACTGGCCACTGTTGTTCTGTGTCTAGTCAGTATTTTTTTTTCCCTTAGCTTCTTATGAAGCCATGTAGTAGCCAGTGAATATGTATCTTTTCCTTATTATGTGGCTCTTAGCCAGTACCAAAGTTCCTTGAATATATAACAGACTGAATAGAATTTAGGAAATGGAAGAGGTGACCTTTTTGTCTATTGTGCCATTGTAGGGGGGAGCAGACCACCTTTCTCAGAAAGAGTTGTCTTCTTTATTCCTAAACCCCAGATCTTAAACCCCACTGGTTGTGTACTATGAGTTGCTGGTTTCCCTTAAAGGTATGAACTTTATATTTCAGTTTATGAAAAATGAAGTGTCTTGATTTCACAAGTGCCTGCTTATGGGTTTCATATCTACCTCCCTACAAACAGTTGCCAAGTTCTTTTATTGTTTCATTTTCCCTAAACAAAAAGATGAGATTTGAGTTTTGTTTGGGGTTATGAGATGGATTTGCTACCTTCTTAGGCATACTTTTCTAGTCTTTTGGAAACTGATATTAAGACTAGAGCTTGGAAAAACCCCATGGCTGGGGTTGGGGGTTTGGAGGGAGGGAGCAGCTGTGTTCAGTGGGAGCAGCTGTGTTCAGTAGGAGCAGCTGTCTTTCTGTGTCACGTTCCCATTATCTTTAGTTAGGGGAAGCCAGCTAGAGTAGTACTAATGTAATCTGTGTACCTTTTGAATAAGGAAGAAGCCAGTCCCAGATTAAGAGTATAAATTCTAGGAACTTGGGGTTTTGCTAAAAATAACAAGAACAACAACTTAGTGTGTTTTGTTTTATCATGTAAACACAGCTTTGATTGCTGAGGGCTGATGGGCCTTGCTCCTGTAACCTTCACATTCACTGTCTCAGCAGGACTGGGAGGTGAGGTCCGTTTTGGTATAAACCATGAGCATTACTCCTGAGGGGGAAATGAAGGAATTTGTCACGTTGCTACGACTGTGAGATGTAAGTGAGCATCAAAAGGGAAAAGAGGCCTACTCTTAACTCTGACAGCAAGTGATTCCACTAGCAGCATGAGACTGGTCATTTTCTGTATTGTGTTGCCTTTGAGAAGCCTTAATTTCCTGTTCATCGGGCTGAGAATTCAAGTTCTGTTCCTTTAAAGACAATTTGCACTTACCTAGGGTAGGCCTGGGAGAACCTAATGATTTTCGTGCCAAGCAGCTATGCAAACAGAAACCAGTTCAGAGCTGGCAGCCATGCATTGGATGATATGCAGAGGGCACATAGGCAGAAGTGCCTTTGAATGGTTCTTGTTCTCAACTGCCTTTTTATTTTGTCCTGTTGTATTTTTCTTCTTTCAGGACTAGATTTGTATTCGTTAAGCTTCCCAGTAGTATTGCTTTCGAGTTATAATATAACCTGATTAAAACCTCTGCTCTGACACTTGAAGAACTAGCTTGTTGTTAGCCTCCTGTTTGAAAGGTTAAGGGTGGAATGGTTTGGCATTTGTTTAAATAAATATATAAATTCTTAAATGGTGCAGTGCTCAATAAGCCTATATGTGCATTAGTGATTAAAAAAACTTTTTTTTTTTTATGTTGGGTCTATACTTGCCTTTTCATTCTCTGGGGAAAAAAAAAACACATCCTAGTTGAGATATTCTAGTTAGGGTAGCATTGTGAGGAATGTATTTAGGCAGAAACCTTTGTTTCTCAACTCTGTGTATTTTGATGTCAGAATCATTTATACAGTTGCCATTCATAATATAGTGTTGGAAATAGTCTGTGATTGCAGCGGGAAAAGAGGAAACACCAAACCGGAAATGTTTTCCTTTCACATTATCTATTTAGTCTTAGTAGGAGCTTCCGAGTGATAATTCTACCTTATTTAGAACCATTTCCCTGAAAGAATTTGAAGCCATATTTATTCTCCCAGCATAGAACTGAGTACCAGAAAAACTGTGGAGCCAAGTTAAAGAGCTGTCATGGGATGTTTTGTTTTGCTTGGCTAACAGTCTCTCCACCTCAGCTTCTGCCTTCATATTAGGGACTTTCAGCACACATCTTGATGGTCTCTCAAATGCCCTAACCTGCCATTTCCTCAGTCTGTTCAGAAATGGTCGTGCCCTTGATTTTACTCCTGCTCACAAATGTACCACTTCCATGTTCATGAACTCCAAAATAACTATCTGAACTCATAATCTTTCATTATTCCATCCTTCCCTGTGTCTTACGATCTCTGACTCTGTTCTTTTTCCTCTCTGTGACCTCCATTGTCTTCTCCCCTCAAGTCTGTCCTAGGCTGTTATCCCTATGTTGGCTACATTCTCCTTTCGTTTCTCAACCCCTTGGTGAGCTCTGCATTATCCTCTATTCTCTGATCTGTTGCCCCCTGTTTCCTATCACCAGTCACTCAGTCAACCCAAACCATGTATTACTAGTGGCATCCTTGATGTCTACCTTCATGACAACTCTTACGTCTCCTCTCCACTCACACAGCCATCACCTTGCTACAGGCTCTCATCTCATCACCCAAACTGTTGCAGTAGCCTTGTTGGTCTCTCTGCCTCAAGTCTTTCCCCACTTCATCTTCCACCTGCCTGTCAAACTACTTTTCTAAAGTCACATGTCTGGCCATTTCATACACACACTCCTTAGTAAACTCTCCTGGTTCCCTATTACCTCCATAATCAAATGTCAAGTTCTCTGACATTTAAAGCCCTTCCTACCCTTCTTGTCTTTTGCTTTACCTACCTCTCCCCCAGCCCCTTTTGCACCTGATCTAGCTATCCTGGGCTTGCTCTTCTTCAAACATAATATTCCTGTCTTCTGTTTCCAGGCTTTACCTCCTACCTGGAATGTTCTTTTTTCCTCAACTCAGCCCCTTAGTTTACCTGGCTTCCTTCAAGACTTATCCCAAATCCACTTTGTTCAGGAGGCCTTGCATGGTACCCCACATCCCCTGGTGCTGTCCCTCTGAAATTATCTTCTATATACTTAGTTTATATCTTGTATATGTATATTTTTATTTACATGGTCTTCCCCCATTAGTATGTGAGCTCCTTGAGAGCAGAAAGAATGTGTTTACCTTTCTTTGTGTCCTCAGCACTTTGTGTAATGCTTGGCACATAATAGGCACTTAATAAATCTTTGAGTGACCAACACCACAATGGAAAGTGCACCTGAGAAGCAAGACTGTAACTTAAACAAAAATTTCTTCAAGAACTCATTCCTGAACTTTCCTTGGAAATGGTCTTTGTGGAGTGGTTTCCTACTAGTGTGACAGTGATAGGTGAGGACTATAGGATCACATCCCATTCTGTCTCAGAGCTTAAAAAAAAAAACACCTTTTACTACTGAATTATGATTAACTATAGAAATAAACATGCTGATCGTTAAAGGTCATAGAATTATTGAAAATAAAAAGGGAAATTTTTTTTGTATCACATCATTACCTGTCTGCTTCCTCTGGGGCTGTATGTAATGAGTCAAGGCAGAGTTGTATAAAGAGTACTTTGTAAGTGCAGTGAAGTATCATTAACTCAGCAAGTCAATATACAGTTATAATAATATGAGTAATGTGTTAATTATATTTAATTACAGCATTTCATCAAGATCCTATTTTAAATCTCCCTAAAGATGGGGCTGCCATATGAACTTTACCATGAGCAGATTTTGTCCAGTTTAAATTTACATAGTTTTTTCCTTAGTTTTTTTATTAGTTTTTTTTCCCCTTCATCCTTTATAAAATGAATCAACACCAAGGCTTCTTCGACAAAAAGACGGCATAAAATAAAAATGTTATCTCTATTTCCTGTTCTGTTCTGGAGACAACCACCTCATTTCCTTAGCACGCCTCCTCCCTTTCCTCTCTCTCTCCCCATCCCCCAAAGACCCTGGTCTTTGTCTTTAGGCTACATCCTTGGCAGTCTGAATGTTAAATACCTTTCTGTAGACTAGATTGTAGCTGATGGCCCTTCCAAGTTTTAACCAAGGAAAGGGCATCACTAATGGAACCAGAGCAGAACTATCTTTATTTCTCCTATACCTAGAATGTGGTAGGCATTTAATGCTTGTCAGTTGTTTAATAAGGCAAACTAATTAGTCATGAACCAACTTATTTAACTCTGAGAGAATAACGGTGCTGCTTTGTTTATAAATAATATTTTTTCTTAATATATTTTTTCACCTGAGCCCCAGTGTGGTTGGTCTATAGTCAGCCTTGGAAACAAATATCTTGCTTCAGGTTCTACCTCTGACACTAGCTGTGTGACCATGGACAAGTCACTTAACTTCTCAATGCCGCAAGCAATCTCTAAGTTATAGTTAAATCGTCAATCTTCAGCCATGAAAAGATAATCCAGGTTTGGATAAAAAAAAAATTGATCTCTGACCTAAATACCAGAGTCTATTCTTGCTAACAATTATTTTCATATATGTGTTAAAATGTTAAATATTAACAGTGTACTTTAGTAGGCAGCCAACAACTTGGGGTAATGTCTCCTTTGACTGCATAATGAGGCCTTCAGGTAGAATCTAGAAAGGGCCTTGATTTTAAAATGCCAACTAAAAGACCCTAAGAAAAAATTTAAAAAGATCTCAATTTAGTATGTTTCTTAGAAAGCAGATTTTTAATATAATTTTTACTGTTTAAGCTTCCATCTCTAGCTGAGCTGATTTGTTGGCCAAGATGCTGTTTAACAGGCTTCAGGAGGAGTGGCAACAGATGTGGATTAAACAGTAATTACATATTTGCTACTGGCAGAATGTTCTGTTATCTTTTAGGTCCCTCTCATTCAGCTGATGTTGGGTCATATTAGCTTTTCTGTAACTTAGATGGAAACACATTGTGATGATTCTTTTAGCACACAAGGCAATAATCCTAACTATTTCTGTGTCCTACTATTGCTCTTGCCTAATTTTAATTTACTATGTACACTCATTAATGCATCCTTGAATATTGTAGTCCACTTTAAAAGTTTGCAGAAATTAAATAATTCTTCTATTCTATAATTTTTTTTCTTTTAGAAATGAGACACGTTTTCTTTTGGGACTTATGCTTAGTGTGTTTGTCAGCATTACAATTTTTATTGTAATTTGTTGTGTTGTACCTAGGCACTATTTAATTGAAAATTACAAAGATATGGTCAGTCCTGCTCCATTGGAGCTTACACTCTAAAGCATAAAACACGACACAGATAATAAGCAGAAATGACTAAAACAGTTGTCCTGAAAGTATTCATGTGACATTTTAAGCTAGTTGATGTTCCAGCCCCCTAAGACTGTAGATTTTGTTACTGTGGTGAGAGAGAAGAGCTATATGGTCTGATTCAGGGGTTTTTTAATACTTTAAAATATTCAAATTGAAAACGTGGGGAAAAATTATAATAAAAGTCTTATCTGAAACTGATTTAAAAGTGATAGCCATAAAACTTAAGTTTTCACAGACATCCTGAAATACACAGAACCTATTTACAGAGTATGTTCCAATGAGATCAGAAACAGCATTACATTCACTGCAGGTTCTTGGATTCCTAGTATCAAATTAATGACTCAGAGAAGAATCTTGTCATTTTAAAAGAGATATTGGCTATGATTATTCTCATCTGGCAGCATACCATGTTAACGGGTCACTTAAGACTACCACGTTGTTAGATGACTGCAAGAAGAGTTAACAAGAACAATAAACGTGTGAAAAGACACCCAAATGAGTACTCTTTATCTGTCACAAATCACAAGTCAGACTTTCAAGAAGAGAGGGCTTTAATTTAGTCTTTTCATTGCTCTTAAGTCTCACTTCCCATGGAAATAATGTAAGGCACTTGAGCTTCGCCTAAATTTACAGTTCAGTGAGAACCTGAAGCTTTCTTCTCCTTGCTTAGAAATGGAGTTCCTCACCAATTCTGGCAATGCAGCCAGGTTGGGGAGATATAAAGTCCTATTCCTTTCTAGTTTCACCCAGTTCTACTCCTGTGGGCTACTGAAGAGAAGGTGTTGCTCACAGGGCCACCCGGAGGTTCTTGGGTGATTCCTTTTCAACAGCAGCGCTTCCGTGGAGGAGGAGGTCGGTTCTTGATGGTCTTACATTTTGGAATGTGCCTCTCAGCCACCTTAGGGGCAAAGTGGCGGCTGCAGTGGGGGCACTGGATATAGTCAGGGTTTTCTGCAGGTGGCACGGGAGGCAAGTCAGAGGGATTTCCACCCCGGGCAATTACCTGCTGCAATTCACGGGCCTGACGGAGAGTTCGGATGAAAGATTCATGTTTTTGTCGCCAATTACTCTTCTTTGGTGGCTGTGGCTATAAAGTAGAGGGGAAGGTTAGTTCTCCCCTTAACACAAATGGGTACTTAGTGATGTGATATAATGCCTGATTAAAAAACAACAACAAAAAACCTAAGACATGACACAGAGACGAGGTTCTTGGAGGTCCCATGGCAAAGCATCTCTTGTTAAGAAAGACCAGGAGAAGCTTGCTAAGATGAATTATAGGAACCTATTGAGAGAACTAAGGTAGAAAAAATGTTTAAGATCTGATTTCTATGTTTTATGCTTTGGGAAAATAAGGGGAGTGGGGGTGAGAGGATGACAAAGTAGCCTTGACAGACTGGTAGTTACGTGAACATGAAGGGCTAATGGGAACATCCATCTGGTGATGACTGGAGTACTCAAATGATGACAGGCTTCTCTTCCCCATTATATAAAAGTTAGGGTGTAGGTCCTCAATGGAACTCATTCTTCCACAATGACTTGCTTAAGCCTAGGAAGTACAATGTCACAAAGACCTAAGGTTTGTGTTTGTGGTATTTTGGTTTTGTTTGTTTTGGGGGGGGAATTGTTTTTTGCTTGTTATTACTCTATTAAGAAATTTAGAAAGACTGAATTTCTTTAAGGTTCTACACAAAATACACCAATTGTGGTGTAACAAAATACTTTTGTGATAGAGCATTAAAGAATATGATCAGTAAGAATACAAATATCAGAAGTACCTAGAGGGATTGAAACTTGGTGATGTTATTATGGTGGAAGTCAGATCTGGGAGACAGTTTTCTCTTTAAGTATACTGTATAAATGAAATCCAGTTAGGGATGTACCTTTCCAAACAGGCCTCCCATTAATAGGAATTTAAAAAGGGCCCTCCTAGAACCTACATACCCTATACATAAACTTCAGAATTCTAGAGAAAACTTTGTGCTTAGGGGCATGACTGGCAGAGGCAGGAGAAAGAGAGCAAGTTGACACTTTCATAGAATTATAGAATTTTAAAGTTTGATGATATCTTGGAGACCATCTAGTCTAACTTCTTCATTTGACAAATAAGGAAAAAAGGCCAAGTTAGGTTAAAATGACTAGGAATAGGGATAGATTGAAAACTGGAACCCTGGTCTCCAGACTGTGATTCCACCATTCTAATTCAGTTGAGTAAATATTCATTAATGTTCTCCCCAAGATGAGAAACTTCATTTACAAGTCTCCTTATATGTAATCATCCCAGATTACAAATGGTTATAGAATTCTCAGAAGTGTGCCATAGAAACAGTTTACAATTCGTATTTTTTTTTTACAATACAGTTTTTTCTGAAGCTGTCAGCAAGAAAAAAAAAACCAAAATCTGCCTTTGCTGTGCTCAGAATCTATTTGCATATGAAACTACAGAAAAATTGTAAGGTATACTAACAAGTTGTTTAGAAAAATCTGTCAAAAAAAAGTTAAAGCAGCTCTCCCGTGACATATGCAAAACCTAAGGCAGTAAAAAGTAATACTAAAACACTTGCCTAAATATAGGCAAGAGTCCTAATTAAAACTTTCACTCACCTACTGACTTTTAAACCTTCATGTTCAATTATCTTACAGGGTCTGCTTTTATTAGACCTTATAATTTGCACTGTTAAATTCAGTGTCCTGGCAATTTGGTATCTGCTTTAAATACGAGTTTTTAAATACAAGTTTTAAAAAGATGAATAACTTGGAATTAATAATTGTCAGGGTTGTTTTTTAACTCCGAGGGAACCCAACACCAAATTTGTGCTACAGAGTGGGAAAAAATGACAGTGTTTCACTATTGTTGAAAAAACCATGATTCTTACAATTCTAGCAATTCAAAAATGAGAAATGCAAAAAGAAGTTCTACAGAGGTTAGGCTACTTAACTTTTCAGAAATTCAAGATGGTGGTGTTACACTCAAGTTCTATTTCAAATTCATTTTCCCTGCCTCCCACTTAAAATACTTTTAAAAGGTGAGGAAACAGTCCATATCTCTGATTACCTTTCCCACTCCCCACCCATCCTCCACCCAAACTAAAATCCATAAGTTTAGAGGACCAACATTACTTACCTTGGCTAGAGTTGGGCCTTTCCAGGTCAGGTATTGTTCTAGTTCAGTGCCTTTAGCCCGGGCCTTGGATGAGTCAAACACTTTCCTCTTAGAACCCTGGGTCTTGCTACAGACATTTGTGTGTTTCTCTAGCCTTAGCAAGAGAAACTTTCGTCCACAGTAGGTGCACTCACCAAGCTCTGGTTCTTCAGTTGAAGAACTGGAACCTGAAGAGACTGATAGCTGAGATGAACTATAACTGGGGGATTTGGGTAAAGAATTGTCAGGATCTTGTTGATGTTGTGAAAACAGCTCAGGGGATGATACTGAAGTTTGGTCTTGGATTTTACTGTTACTTGCCACTAATCTTTCCTTTCTGAGTCTTTGTACTCCATGATTGAAGAACTGGGAACATACTGAGGATGGACTAGAATTCTCTAGGGACCGTTCCCAGGTTTCATCACTTCTGCTACAACTACTGAAGACCTCTTCAGACCTGAATTCTGGTGAGATGAGTTTGGAAATGCTGCTGCTACCACCTGTGCCTCTTCTCCTTGGAAATGTCTTTCTTTGTAGCTCTTTTTTTCCTTCTTCTTCTACCTGTTCCTTTTCTTTTTGGATCCTTCTAAGTTCTTCTTCAGTCTTCTTCAATTTTTCCCTTAGGAGAGTCTCTTTTCTCCGAATCTCTTCCTCTAAGCTCTCACCTGCTGCCTCCAGTTTTTGAATCTGCATTAGCTCAGTTCTGTCTGGATTTGACCAGAATGTTTTGGGCTGAACCACTGGTAGGGGAGCAAGGAGCATCTTAGTTGAAGATGAATTCCCCCTATTCCGTGAACTGAAGTGCCTGAGCGGGACCTCTTTTGATTCAGAGGGTTTCTGGGAGAAGTTTCGGGAGTCAATCCCAATGTGAGTAGCACTCAGTGATTTTCGGTGAAACACTGGTTTGAGGGGATAGGCACGATCCACACCAGCTCTCTTCTTTGTGAAGGGCATTGTGTTTTCTTGGTTATCTGTTTTGGTGTGTCTCGTATGGACCCCAACTGAATAAAAATCCCCATTTCCTGAACCCTCCTGATTGTTTCCCGAATCCTGTTGGCTGTTTTCTGCAGAATGAGAAGAAGGATAGCTATGGGCTTTAGTAAAGGTGTTCTGCCCGTTATGAGTAAAGATATTCTCCAGCTTCTCTTCTTTGTCTCTTAGAAGCTTTTGCTGGAAGTTGTTTTTCAGGTGCTCCAGCGAAGACTGATGGGTAGAGCTGCTTTGTTCGTAAGCAGTTTGCCTACTTGAATGGAGTTCTGAAGCTTCCATTTTGTTAAAAGGAAGCATGATGTCCGCATGTGGGCGTGGAGCCAACTGAAGGCGAGCCATTCAGTGCCTGAACTGAAGCCTGGGAGAGAATCAAAATCAGATTCATGTTAACTTTGATGCTGAGTCTGGGATACTGAAGCAGATTCTAAGTTACTTTCCCAACAATCCCCTTTACTTTTCCCTACCACATTACTAATGGTGCCAGGGTTGATACAGAGAAAGGATACTGATATGATGCCTTTTCCCTTAAAATAGTAAGAGTGTCTCTCTCTCCAAAGCCCGTGGGGGAAAGGTTATGTATTCGACAAAATTGCCTTTGCTACTTAGTACATTAGTAAAGTACGTTATGTCTGCTAAAGGGCAAAGTTGCTGCTCCAAAATCTCATGTGCTACCATTTGGCTAATAACAGTTGCAGCATGAAAAGAAAAGGGTTTTAAGATTAAGATTTTAATTAAATTTTAAATCTTTATTTTAAGTAAAGTAGGAGGTTTGAGAGCAGGTTCACAGGCTGTAATACACTTAATGCACCCAAAGTTTCAGACACTCCTGTTGAGTAGCGTAGTGGAAAGAGGACTTAGTGTCAGGAAGACCTCATTTTTAATCTTCCTCTGCCACTTACTAGTTGCCTGACCATGGGCAAGTCACTTAACCAAGCCTCATTTTTTTCTCATCTTGAAAATGAAAATAATACCACAACTTACGGGCCGTTATGAAGGCCAAATATATGTTAAGCAGTTTGCAAACTTTAAAGGGAAATGGAAATATCTACCATCTAATACATCCCACTTATTTTACAAATGAGGAAACAGTTGTAGAGAGGTGATCTGCTCGAGTGCAAACTGTGGTGTTCACATTCGAACTCAGGTTTTCCCACTAGAATCGGAGGTCCTTCCACAACTCCATGAATGCAACGGCCTAAAAGATGTGACAAACGATCCCGGGAGGGAGTGATCGGTCCCTTTCTGCCTGGAGTATCTATTCGGGCTTCAATAAGGAAGTGTCATTTGGGTCGGATCCCTGAAGAAGGAGCAGTTCAACTCGTGAAAAAATGGAGGCATGTGGTGAGGGCTGAGGTGGAGAAGACAATATTCTGGGTCTGGGAAATGAACCCAGAGGATAAACCAAAAGCTCCGTTTACACTAGGGTTTCCACCACAGCACCGCTCCCCAAGCGCTTGCCTAGGGCTAAGTATAGATAGGACTGGAGGGTAGGCAGGTAGGCAAGTATGATGGCCACCTTCCGGCCTCCTGACTAGTTCACTGGAGGGAGGGTCCCCGCACAGGTGTGTCTGTGTAGAGCTGGGCTTTCGCTAACGTGGGCATCTTCTGCGCTGCAGCAGCGTCCCTGGGAGCCATGACAACGGAGCCCTCCGCCCGGTCCCAGCGCTCGGGCAGGTGGGCTCTCCCACACAGGGGAAGGGCTCTTTACCCTTGCGGGGAGAGAGTGGGGTGTGCAAGGGTGAACTTGGGGAGTGGGGATGGGGATAAAATTCTCCCCCTCTAGGGAAGATTCTGTCCCTTTCCAGGTACCTTAAGCTCCGCTGCGTCCGCTCCAGCTCCGGGAAACTCTACACAGGACGCCAGCTTCCCGAACCCGACCCCTAACAGCGGTCCTGGCGCAAGCGCTCTAGACTACTCTGTTATTCCCGTTGCCTGGAAACTGGGAGCGCGAGCCGGGGGGGGGGTGGGGGGAAGGGCCCGCCTCTTGCCCTACACCTGAGCTCCGGGAGGCCCGGCATTTTGCAAGTACGCTAGCCGCCCTGAACCTGGGAGAGGAGCGTGCGTGGGTCAGCTAAGCCCAGCTAACCGGCTGGTCCCAGCCTCCGCAGGGCCTTTCCCAAGTACATTTTGAAAGAAGAGAGTGTGGGCCAGAGCATCCCAGAAACAGTGAAAATGCACCTAGAAACTGAAGCCGGGGCTTTAATCGTATTAGAGAGGGATAAACCGAGGTTCGCCCCAAAATCCTTGTGGAGAAGAGTTCCTGTGTGTGCCTACCTAGCCGCTCTAGGCATGCTGGTGTCTTCTCTTAGTTCGCTCAGCAGTGTTATTAGTTCATCAGGTATGCCTTTATTATTGTGCTCTTCTTGAAGTGCTTTACCTTGCCAATAAGTAAGCAGTGTTGCAGGTTTCACTGGCTATGATTTTTTTTTAAATATCTTTCTTCTCATATTTTATGGCCAATCAGGAACTAGTTAATGCCATTTTTATTGCGATCACTCCCAAACTAACTTGCCCATCCCTTAGGGCCTACAAATGACTCAGCTAAATGTAACGGTCATGAGGATTGAAGTCCCAATCAAAATAATCCGTTAAACCACTTGCACCAGCATTAAGAAAGCCTCAGTAAATTGTCAGCAGAAGGCATTTTCTTCATGCTTCGGTTCACTTTTGCAAATGCTTTGGAAAAGTCAGTCTTGTGCACGAAATCTATGTACATGTTAAACTTAAAATCTCCAAATGTTATATTGTAATGTCATTCACCAATTTCAAATTGAGCCTGATTATTGGGCTCTGCTGCAAACTAAAAAAGGAATAACTTATTGGTGAAGATAGCAGCCATATAAGGTACGTGAGCATATATGACAGTGGAAAGGAAATTGGATCTAGGTGTCTAGTGGGTAGTGCTAGATCTGAAATTAGGAAGTTGTTTTAGTCGTTTTCAACTGTGGCTGACTCTTCATGACCCCTTTTGGGGTTTTCTTGGCAGATACTGGAGTGGTTTGCCATTTTCTTCTCTAGTTCATTTTACAGATGAGGAAACTGGGGCAAACAGTGTTAAGTGACTTTTCCAGGGTCACACAGCTAGTAAGTGTTTGAGTTCCGATATGAACTCAGGTCTTCCTGACTCCAGATCCAGAACTCCATCCACTATGCCACTTAGCTGCCCAGAGGTACCAGCTGTGTGATTGTGGGCAAATCATTTTTAATCTGTTTGCCTCAGTTTCCTTAATTGTAAAATGGGAATAACAGCACCTACCTCACAGGTTTGTTGTGAGGAATTGATAATATTTATGAAGTGCCTGGGACTATATAAATGCTCATTCCCTTTCTCCCTTCCCTGGTCAGCAAGGAGCCTATATTTTTGTAGGATATTTAAAGCTAGAAGGAACCTTAAAGTTATCTAGCCTAGAGCTGTCAAACAGTCCTCCAGGCCCCATGTGCCCATAACACTACATAGTGCTGCTTGCACCAGATTAAAATGTAATGGATGGGAGAGGGGCAGCTAGGTGGATAGAGCACTGGCCCTGGATTCAGGAGGACCTGAGTTCAAATGCGGCCTCAGTCACAACACCTGCTGTGTGACCCTGGGCAAGTCACTTAACCCCATTGCCTAACCAAAAAAAAAAAATGTAATTGAAAATATTTAACAAAATAAATAGAAATACAATAAAACAGTGATACTATTACATTTTAAAACTAAGTCAATATGAGGTTTACAAGGATCTTTATATTTCATGGCCCCCATTTCTATTTGAGTTTGATACTACTGATCTAATTCCTGTATTTTACAGATAAGGAATCTGAATCCCAGAGAAGTTAAGTGACTTGTACAGGTCATCTATAGATGGCATAAAATAGCAGAGGCAGAATTCTAATCCAAATACTCACATTCCAAATCCAGTGTTCTTTTGAGGGCAACACACTGCAGTCTCTGACCTTGCCACTTTAATAGCTGTTGAGCCTTGAGCAAATCACTTAACCTTAGTGTTAGTTGCCTTATTTATCAAATGGGGATAACCTACCCCATCAGGTTATGATGAAAATGCTTCAGAATATTAGTCAATATATATAAAGCTCAGCATACAAAGCTATAAACTCTCTTTAAATGGCAACTTAAAGAATGTTTTTGACTAATTCTTAAAGGACCATTGATCCTACTGAAAAGGAGGGAGGTTATGGGGTGTTCCTAGATGCACAGAGGCACCCCAAGATCACGGGAGGTTTTGGGGTGCTGGGAAAAAGCCTAGATTGCGGTGCCGAATCCGCCTGAATGAATTCAACCCAGATCTTCCAGCCAGAGAAAAAGTTTATTAAAGATAAAGCATATAGGCCAGACTCCCAAGGAACCCAAACATCAGTGATCTAAATGGGGGCTGGGGGGCTAAGGAGGCCAGGTGATGCTTGTAAGGACGAGCAGTGGGAGTCTCAGCCTCTAGGCTTGAGAACAGCTCATCATCTGAGTGGGGGCTGGGGTCATCTTAGGTACAGAAAGGCTGGGGGAGGGGTCTAGGAGTGGCCAAGCAGTTTGGAGGGATGGGAGGAGGGGTCTAAGGAGATCTGGATGGGAGTGGCTAGTAAGCTGGGGTGAACAGAACTCCTGAGTCCTGGACCTTGTGGCACCTAGCTAGGATTAAGGGTGGGATCTGGCCAGGAAGGCAAAACAATGGAATGAGAGGCCAGTTGAAGGAGGAAGTGATAAAGAAAAGGGTCCAGGTGAGCATTTCCCTTTGGAATGTCTGAGAGATTTGAACAGACAATGAGAATAGATAATGAAGGAAACTGGAAGGGGGGGAGTTTGCTTTCAAAGGGAGTTTCTAAAACTTTAAGGTTTTCCTGGGACTGGTAGACAGACTGAAGCTGGGTTCATTTTGGGGCCAGGAAAGAAAGCGTATTTGAATAAGATTAAAAGGAAAGGCCCAGGCTTTGGAAAAGGGCTTAACAATAAAACTATTAGTGGCAAAGGTCTCGGCTTCTGAAACTGAATGAAACCCTCTTCGCTACCAGGACTAATACTGATACTGTATATTTTTCACTTAGTTTCATTCAGTAAGCAAGGTTATGGTGCTTAAGTATAACCACCTCTCCTGCCCTACATTCTTCCTGTTTTCCTTTCCCCAAATAAGTCCTTAAAATTTGATATATGGAATATATAGTCTGAGATGATTGGCTCAAACGTAATTTTGGAATCAAAGGTTGCTTCTTGTTCTTGTCTTTTTGGCTGGCCAAATTTAGTTAAGAGCATAATAAGGAAAGCTAAAAGCAATTAGTAGTTGGCACCCTAGTTGGCAGCTTCCAAGGGGCGTTGAAGCTGGAAGCATCTTCCCTACCCTTCCAATCCACCCACAAGTTCACACATTGTTTCAGAGTGGTGACAGAGAAATGAAGGATAGGATCATATGTATATCGGGCACTGGAAAAAATGGTAGAGGCTACCTAATCCAACCTCCTCTTTTTACAGATAAGGAAACTGAGGCACAGAGAACTGGTAAGGAAGTATCAGGCAGAATGTGAAGCCAGGGGTTTCTGAAGTCAAGCCTAAGATTCTATTCACTAAGCCAAATTACATCCCTAAGGGGGCTCAGGCTGGTTCATCAGCGGCTACCTTGTCTAAGGGAATCGTGAAAGGGAACTGGATCGTGTAGATGTTCTTAACTGGTTTTGTGGCATGGGCCCCTTTGGCAAAAAACTCATGGACCCCCTTCCCAGAATGTTTTTAAATGCATAAAATTAAATGCATAAGATTACAAAGAAAACCCATCATAATGAAATATAGATGTGATTATTTTTCCCCATTGAAGTTCAAGGACCCCCTGAAATCTATAGAAGGTCTTAGACCCCAGGTTAAGGGCCACGAGTTGGGGAGGCCAGGGGCCCAGGTGAGACTCCCAAGCGCCCCTGACTCGGCACTTTCGCATCCATCTCAGGTGGGCGGGCTCCTAGCTGAAACAGCTGACCCTGATTGGCTGAGCTGGGTCACAAGCCTCTCTAGCTGGGAGCGGAGAGGAGAAGGACTAGAACTCGATGCTCTTTAGGTACCGGCGGTTGTGGCCGGAGCCGACGGTTAGGTGAAGTGCGCCGCTGCCCGCCCTGCGACCTCCTCCGGGGAAAAGCTGAGCAGGGTGAGCCCGGGAGGTGTTCCCCCCCAACCCGGGCGGGGGGAACACTCAGCATGCAATGTTAGTGCAAAGGGGAGGAGGCTGAGGGGAGTTCGAGAGGCAGGTGAGCAGCGGTGGGGTGGGGTAGGAGGAACACGAAGTGGGGGGAGGGCCCCCCCACCGAGATGCCCCACCCCCGCCCGGGCTTGCTAGCCTGTGTGGGGGACTTGGGGGGGGCCTCCTTCCTGCTAGGTGGTGGAGGTAGCATGGATGGCACCTTGCATTTCGTGGAGTTTGTAGATGCTTAATAAATGGTTGATGACCGACTTTGTATCCCCTGCCACCAGCAACATGGCTCGATGATGAGATAGCACACTTATGAGACCGAATTTCTGCCAACTGAAGCATATACACAGCCTATAGGGCGAGGAGGGGAGAGTCATGCTGAGAGGGGTTGCAATTTATCTATGTGTATATCGTCATATACATGTGTGCATGTATACATGCAAATGCGCGGTTATCTGTGTGCATGTACATATGTGTATTGTGTACATGGGTGCATGCATGTACTGTGATTTGTGTAAATATGGGGCAGCTAGGTGACATAGTGGATGGAGCACTGGGCCTAGAGTCAGGAAGACTCATCTTTCTGAGCTCAGATCTGGCCTCAGACACTTAATAGCTGTGTGATCCTGGGCACGTCACTTACCCCTGTTTGCCTCAGTTTCCTCATCTATAAAATGACCTGGAGAAGGAAATGGCAAACCACTCTGGTGTCTTTGCCAAGAAAACTTTTGTTTATGGGGTCACTTGGAGTTGGACAGCACTGAACAAGCCCGTATACATTGTGTCTGGTGTAGATACATTGTTGTATAAGTGTATATACGTGTGTATGCATTTACTATGAATATGTACATAAATATGTATTATATAGGTGCATATGTCTATGCATGTACATGCATACGCATACATGGGAACATACCATTCATGTGTGCATGTAGACGTGCGATATGTACACATAAACTTACATCTACATGTGTGCACCTATATACACGTACTGTGCATATGTGCAAGTATGCACATGCATGTTTGTATATACACATATGCATAGATTGTTTATATGCCTATGCATTATATATGTATACATACATAGAGTGTGCGTGTGTGTATATTTTCTATATGCTTTATAATATATGAGGTATATTATGTATATTATGTGTGTGTATATGCGACATACATGTATATATGTATATACATGTACATATATAATTACATGGGTGTACACCTAAGTGTGTATGTATATATTTGTGTCTTACCCTTACTAGATTCCAATTGAAGAAACATTTATTGTCAGTCCCCTGCATTCAGAGCACAATGCTAGATTTAGGAATTGGGAATGCAAAAACTAAGATAACATTTCTACTTCTATAGAGTTTACTGTCTAAATAGCAGGTTCCTTTAGAGCATTTTGTTGTTTTCTTTTTCTTCAGCAATCAAGGGGTCACACAGCCAGTAAGTGTCAGAGTGTCTGAGGTGGGGATTTGAACTCAGGTCCTCCATGACTCCAGGGCTGGTGCTCCATCCAGCTGCCCCTCTTTCTTTTTTAAAAAGTCCTCCCAAGGACCTACAAGAGTACATTAGGGGCTCAACAAATGTTTTTTGTTTGTTTTTTAAACAAATGAGCAATAAGGATTGAGACCCAACTGTATGACAAATAAAGGCTCAGGCTGTCCAGGCTGGACTTTTTTTTTGTACTTCTTTTGCTTTTCTTGGTCACCAGCAGGTCTTACTATGGCTGAAGGACACACTCTGTTGTCAGTGGATTATGAAATCTTTGGGAAAGTCCAAGGTGTATTTTTCCGAAAGTACACACAGGTAAGTGTTCTACATTGGACTTGGAAAATGCTAAATAATGTTCCAAGGAAATAAGAAATGTTTTTGTTGATACACATGAGCTGGCTGTATTGGGGATGAGACTATAAAGAACTGGATATTAAAGCACTGGGGCATAGGTTTGGTTGTGAGTCGTATTTTATCCTTTTTTTTTGGTTTTTGTTTTACTCTATTTCCTTTCTATTACTTATGATGTCTGATTATCTAGACAAGACAGAGATGCTCCTTCCTTGAAGGAGAAGGAACACTTCCCAGCTCTTCGTTTTACAGCATTAAACTAATTTCAACACTAAAGAAATCAGAATTGCTTCTTGTATTCAGTAATTCCATATATCACTTTCTCTAATGGATACTGCTATTTTTTCAGACTGCTTTTCCAAATTTACCTTCTCAGAGAAGTTTCTAAAAGGAAACATTCCTGGTCTGTGTCCTTATGGAGTGTAGAGCTTTGTCACACAAGAAACTTTCAAAGGAGTTCTGTGTACTGAGTACTTGTATTACCTCGATGTAATAAAGGATTATTTCCTGAGATATGCTTTCTAATTCTCTGTCCAGTTTTAAATGTCTCGTATGATAGAGTTCCTATTATTTTCTGAGGAAATCCTGCTATTTAAAGGATCTCTATCAGATTATGCATTATCTTCATTACCATCAGCAGCAGTGAATATTTGGTGAACTCTATGTACATGGAATACATATTATTTATGTGTATTTATCTGCAAGCTTGAGTATCTTCATTTTGTCCTGTTTCTATTACGCATTTTAACACTCCTGTTACCATTTTAAAGAAGAAAATCAAAGTGTTATTCCCCTATGTAATTCTTCCTTGCTTTGTATCAACTGTCACTTAAATTAAACTCATCAAGTATTTGTTGTAAGGCTCTGTGTGTTGGGTGCTATGAATACAAAGATAAAAAGAAATTAAACAGCCCTTGATGAAATTATATTCTAATTCTAATGGAAACAGCTTTCTAGCTTTCAAACAACTGTTGTTGCCAACAGAGACTTCTCTAATTACAAACTGCTTTGTCCATAACAGGACAGGTAAATGTTTAGTTAAATTAAGGGAGCAGCTAGCTAATTTCCACTGTCTCTGCTCTGCAATACACACATCTCCTCCCTTTTTTGCCCCTTATATTCTGGAGATGCCAGACTGTGTTCTATTCTTCCCCTCCTTTACCACCTCATCCCTTTAAAACTTAATGGGGAAACAGGAATAGTGAATTGGAGCTGTAAAACTAGGTGATCGTAATTGATTGCAACTAGGATGCTTAAAATTCAAATCTCAGTCTTGAAAGGAAAAGAAGTCCTAAACCTAAGCACCATCTTTCACTTGCACATCATTTTCTTCTTCCCTTTCCCTCACAGACACAAAGCACATTCTTTAATCAGAATAGGATTGCTAAAAGAGAAATATTTGAAGAGGTAATAAATGACATTTATATCTTAAAGTTTATAAGGCACTTTATAAAAATACATTATTTCATTTTAGCCTTCCAACCCTATGAGGAATGTAGTACAAGTACTATTATCTCCGTTTTACAGATGTGCAAACAAGCTTAGAGACAAGTAACTTGAACAGTTTCCTCTTCATTCCAAATTCATTGCCCTTTCCACTGTACCATATTGCCTCTGCTGGGACTGAAACCTCCTATTTGTGTTGTTTCCCCTATTAGAATGTGAGCTCCTTCAAAGCACAGGTTGTCTTGCTTTTTTTTTTTTTTTTTTTCCATTTGGGGTTAAGTGACTTGCCCAGAGCCATACAGCTAGTAAGTGTCAAGTGTTTGGTCAGAGGCCGAATGTGATTGAACTCAGGTCCTCCTGACTTCAGGGCCAGTGCTGTATCTACTGCGTCACCTAGCTGGCCCAACTTTTTTTTTTTTTTTTCTCTAATTTCATCTCCATTGTTGAATACAGTGCTTTGACAACAGTAAGTACTTAATAAATGCTTTTTTCGGCCATTCGTTCCAGGAATATATGTTCCAATTGGCTTTATCACTGATTGTTTCATAACTTCAGGCTGGTCACAGTTCTTTAGTAAATGGAGATGGGACTCTCAAAGACAAGCAACAACCAAGGCCCTACTTGGTGGCCTAATTTCCCCTACAATTTAGAATAAAATGTTGTTATCAGGGAAAAGGAGGGAAATGATGTGATATAGTAAAATTTTTACAAGTTCACTTTATAGTTATGTTACATTCAAATTATAAACCATATTTTTTAAAAATTTGTCTTACTGAGTTTAATCAGTGATTATAACTAATCATGAAAATAATTCTTATTGTGTTATCTGCCATAGAAGTAGAGTGCTCTTTTGGAACTATATGAATGACATTTAAATGTAAGTTATGTGGCAAAGTTTATTCACCTAGTTTAAATTCTCTGGTATGTATTTGCAGCAGAAATTGTAACTTGTGTGGGCAAATTAAAATAATTCATTGGGATTCTTCTAAGTACAATACTTTTTTTTTTCAGCCTAAACTTACAAACTGAATCTGTCAGCAAATGTAATTCTGTTGTTTAAAAAGTAAGCATACTACATCAGATTGCACGCCATGGGGGAAGGGGAGAAAATTTGGAACTCAAAATGTCGTGGAAGTGAATGTTGAAAACTAAAAATAAATAAAATTTAAAAAATTTAAATGAAGCCCTGCTATGAAATGAGAATAAAATAAAATAAAAGGAATAGCAAGTTGTACATTTAAAAAAAAAAGTAAGCATAACAGGTGAAAGTAATGCTTAAAGAAATATTGGTCTTTCAATTTAGGGCAGTGGGATACTGGTAAATGTTTTAACATCCTTGGTTAGGAGGCAGGAAGTGGTGGGGATTGAAGCAGGACACACTTTTAAGTTTAATCTATATTATTAACATTTTCTCTACCACTTTCTCTAGTTAAGGCAGTCAACAAAACAATCAATCAAGCCCTGGTTTGTATCATTTGCCAATAGTGGACATGTAAATGCACACACTGAAAATTTAACCTTCTGCTCACAGGTACAAGCTGGCTCCAGCATACCACAGCTGTAAAGGAAAGAATTTAGAAAAAGGCTTAGAGCTCAGCTGCACATGCACATGTGTGTGTGCGGGCACGCTCGGGTGTGTAGGTGTATCTGTATTTTTTTCTTCATGTATCTTTTTCAACTTTAAGGGAATTGGTCTTGCTTAACTTAAAGAAAAGAAGTCTGAGGGGCAATGTCATAGAATTTCATAGAATCGTAGACTTTAGCCCTGAAAGAGATTAATGATCATCAAGTCTTATCTTCATAGATGAGGAAACAGGCTTATTTGTCAAGGTTAAATGAATTAGCCAAGGTCAGTGAGCTAGTTAATGGGCAAAGCTGGGACTAGAATCCACATCTTCTGATTCCTGATCCAGTATTCTTTCTGTCACACTACCCAAGATCCCTCAAGCACGTGAAGGGTTATTATACCAAAAGTAGTGACCAGCTGCTCTTCTCTAATTTGGAGGACAGAAAATGGATTTCAGAGGCACCCTGAAAGATTTGGGTTAGACATAACTCCCTGAAAGTAATAACAATGACACGTGTTCCCAGGAACAGTTGGGAGATCTTTTAAAAATATGATGGCTATTCTCCCATTTGGAGTAGCAGTCATGAAGGCCGGAAGAGGAACTCGATGACCTTTTAGTGTGGTTCCAGGTTCTTTTTTTTTTTCTTCCCCTATACCCAATGGATTCTTGACTAGGAAAGGGGAAGATTACCATGCATAATCAAGTGTGCTGAGAGCAAATGGATAACCTCCTGGGAGCTTTTTGAAAAGAGTGGTTTTGTGCTTGCATCTCTAGTACTAGTGGTTGCCAGTTTTTATGTTAGTGGAAAATTCTAACCCCTGGTGTGAGTCGAGTGGGGAACGGAAATGAGTTCAGATGCCGAACACCCTCACATTAGAGTCACAAGGAGATCCTCGTCCTGCTGCCTTTGTGTTCTGAAGGAGGATCTGGGCAACATCAGGCCGCTTCCATGGCTTGATTCCAGGCCAAAGTTCTGACAACAGATTGTGATTTCGCTTTATTTTAGTCTCACTTAATCCAACTCTGTTTTTTTTCCTTAGGCTGAGGGTAAAAAGCTGGGACTGGTAGGCTGGGTCCAGAACACTGACCAGGGCACGGTGCAAGGACAGATACAGGGTCCCACTGTCCAGGTTCAAATCATGCAAGAATGGCTTAAGACAAAAGGAAGCCCAAAATCCCGCATTGACAAGGCAAAATTCCACAATGAGAAGGTCATCCCAAAGCTGGAACACAAAGATTTTGAAATTGTGAAATAATAGTAATCAAAAGACAGTATTTTTTCCTAGTGTAATATGAGTATATGCTTATTTGAAGTGGTATTAAATTTATTATTTTGTCATCTGTGTTGTTAATATGCAGAACTATTTGTTATTGTTAATATTTAGGGTGGTCATTTAACATGTTATTTCAATTAAATTCAAATATTTCTTGAATCTAATAATGCCACATTGTGGCATTGCAACTGTAAATAGGAACTCAATAATAAAGAAATAAAGACAATTGGAATCCCTAACTTTGGTATTTTTTATTGTCTTCACTGAGAGTTTCTCTAATAAAATATATAATATAGTAATAATTATAACAAAAATGTAAATAAGAGATATACAGTATGACTTTGGGAGAAAGGCCTCTTGATATCACTTGAGCTGCTATAAAACAGACAGAAAAGAGGTGCATTCCAGGAGTTAGGGACAGCCAGTGCAGTAGTGCAGATAACAGAAAATGGTGTGTCTTATATGAAGAACATAAAGACCAGTTTGATTCATAGTGTGCAAATCCGTGATTGTTAGGATGATGGTCCCCTCAACAAAAAATAAATAATTTTGGAAGAGGAATGCCTTTTTGGGAAAATATACTGAAAAGCTCAAAAACCAATAATTCTGTGAATATTTAACCATTAATGCTAACACATTGAAACTGCTGATGATCTTGCCAATCATAAAAACGGCATTGAGTAAGTCTTTGTGCAAAATGATATAATATTAAGGCTGGAAAAGGCATTATGGGATACTCTACCCATGCCCTCTCATTCTATAGTAGAAGCTCAGACTCGACTATGAATGTATCACTTATTCATTCAACCCAGGAGACACCCATTATAAACTCAATAAGGGATACAGGGGATTACAGCAGTTTGGCTATTTCTTCAACAAGTACTTACTAAGAACTTACGATTAGTAATGTGTGAAAAAAACCCTATGAGCTTTTTTATAAAGTAGGTTCCAATGAAAGTGGGACAGAAAACAAACTCAATCAAGTCACTTCACTGGGCTCTCAGGGTTTTATTTGCCTCCACACGGGTTAGATTTATTAAACGGTCAATAAAGAGGGATGGAATGGGCTGATTAAAAGAAATGAATCCTCCAAAAAGATCGATAACTTTTAGTTATCTAATTAGTAACACTATGCCATGATGGGGGGAAAAAGATTGTCAATTTCATATGCCTAGAAAGTGATAAATATCGTTTGGACGCTGAAATCTTGGCATAAATTACTACCTCCACATTTCCTCCACTCTGGTTCTTGTGAATCCACCACGCACAGAAAAGACACTGTCTGGAAGATGCCACTTTGCTCAGAAAGGGCTGGGCATCAAGGGCAAACTACGACTCCCAGAGTCCACCTGGGCCCTCGCTTACGTGCGCTTCCGTCTCCGTGCGCGCTTTCGTCACTGTGGCGGTCGGTGAAGCTACCATTAGAGGTGACTGGAGAGCAAGGGAAGGGAGGAAGGAACGAGGGCATTTCGTTCGGCGGCCGAGCGTTGACGGACGCCTCCAGGGAGTGATTGAGCAGCCTCCGAGCAAGGGTCTTTTGCAAATATTTATGCCTTAGTTTCCCACGGTTGGGTGTTTGGGGAGGATGGTTTGGTCTGGGGCGGAGTTTAGGGGAGGGGGCGGGGTTAAGTAAAAGTGGGTTGTGAATGGGCCCGAGCCAGGCTGGAGCAGGCTCCCGGAAAGGGTGGGAAGTGACGGGGGCGTGGTCTCCCCCGAAGGGCGTGACCTTCCCAGATAGGGGCGTGGCCCGCATGCGCTCTTGCTAGAACTTTTTCCGTGTAAGAGGAGCAAAGTTTGGGGGAGTTAGGTAATTTCTTAGGAATTTAAGAAAGAGCATGTTTTTCCTTTTTGTTCCCAGGGGCTTTGGGCCCTCTCAGTGGAAAGGAGCATCTTCATAGTAAGGGCTCGTCTAAATAATTGTGGAGTTGAGTGGAAACAGAGTGTTTATGAGAACCTCCTTCTCGAGGTGATGTCATCTTTAAAACTCAGCACCCCCAGACTTAAACAGTGCTGATGTTGCTGGTTCACTCAGTTTTTTTTCTGTACCTTTTGTGGGAAGCTCAGTCCCTGTTGTCAATAGTTGAATTAAATGGGGCATACGAGGTAAAAGTCAGAGGATTTAGTGCCAAAATAGCTCTTAAAGACAATCTTTTAATTAATTTTAAAGATGAAGAAACAGACCTCAGCTGTTGAATTGGGGTGAATTGAATTAAGATTTAACGGAGTCACAGCTTACTAGCAGAACTGGTACGATACTACTGAGTTTTTTACAAATGTAGCAGCCTAGAATATATAAGCATGGGAGTGGTGGTGGCCTGTTACTCTCTTTCCCCCACACAATCATAATAATATCTAACATTTATAGAGTGCTTACTGTTTGCAAGGCACTTTGCTAAGTTATTGTTGAATTTGATCCTCACAACAACCCTGGGAAGGAGATGTTATTATCACCATTTTACAGATGAGGAAACTGAGGCAAATAGGTTAAGTGACTTACCCACAGGAAGACCACAGCTAGTAAGTGTCTGAGGGCAAATTTGAACTCAGGTCTTCCTGAGGCTAGGCCTACTACACCACCTGGCTGTCACATCATAGTAATGTGATTTTTTTTTTTTTTTAAAGTAAATTTACTCAGGTTCCTTCAGTCATCTTAAGTATACTAGAAAAAGTTTAATAAAATCCTTCATGGAGTTTTATATCATTCCAAAGCCATGATTTTTGTATAGATATTATAAAACTATCTAACAAGTAGAATTAAAAAAATATGTTTTCCATAATGGATTGAGTTTATTCAGCTATTGATTGTGAAATAACTAGAATCTTCTATGTCTCCATTGTAGATCACTTTTGGGACAGAATACTAATGTCTACTTTGTGGCACATAGGACTTAAGAAGGAGAGAAACTTGTCATGAGGGTTATTGTCTTATACTATTAAATAGATTGCACTAAGTAAGAGAAGTTCCAAAGTACATTGTCTATTGTGTATTAACAATATGGGAGAATGGTATTTGTTTTAAATAATATTCACAAACTGATTATGACAAAACAGATGTAATTGTGTACCAGATAATTTGATACTAACTAAAAAGTTTTACCAGGGCCTTAATTTTCTTTGTTTTCTCTAGGGAAGTATTTCTGATCAGAAAAAGATACCGCCTCTCTTAGACCAGTTTTCCACCTGCCATGATCAAGTGTTTGTCTGAGGAAGTGCAAGCTAAACTTCGTTCTGGTGTGGCTATCAGCTCCCTTAGCCAGTGCGTTGAAGAACTTGCCCTCAATAGCATTGACGCTGAAGCAAAATGTGTGGCTGTGAGAGTAAACGTAGAAACTTTCAAGATTCAGGTTATAGACAATGGCTCTGGGATGGAAAGGGGTGATATAGAGAGGGTGGGAAAACAATATTTCACCAGCAAATGCAAATCTGTACAAGACTTAGAGAACCCAAAGTTTTATGGTTTCCGAGGGGAGGCAATATCAAGCATAGTAAATATGGCCAGTGCTGTAGAAATTTCATCCAAAACAAACAGGACAGTGGAAACTTTTGTGAAACTGTTTCAGAATGGGAAAGCCCTGGAAGCTTGTGAAGCTGAGTTGACTAGGCCAAGTTCAGGGACAACAGTTACTGTATGTAACCTGTTTTACCAGTTACCAGTGAGGAGGAAATGCATGGATCCCAGACTGGAGTTTGAGAAGGTTAGGCAGAGGATTGAAGCACTTTCACTCATGCACCCCTCTATCTCCTTCTCCTTGAGAAATGATATTTCTGGTTCTATGGTTCTTCAGCTCCCCAAAACCAAAGATACACGCTCTCGATTTTGTCAAATTTATGGATTGGGTAAGTCACAAAAGTTGAGAGAAATCAATTTTAAACATAAAGAATTTGAACTTAATGGACATATCAGTTCTGAAGGATATTATAATAAAAATTTGCAGTTTTTGTTTGTGAACAAAAGACTGGTTTTAAAGACAAGATTGCATAAACTCATTGACTTTTTATTAAGGAAAGAAAGTATTATTTGTAGGCCAAAGGGCGGCCCTGCAAGTAAGCAAATGAATTCAAGCCCTCCTCGGCATAAGTCAAACCTAGAACTCCATGGGATCTATGTAATCAATGTCAAATGCCATTTTTGTGAGTATGATGTATGCCTAGATCCAGCAAAAACGCTAATTGAATTTAGGGACTGGGATACTGTCTTGGTTTGTGTTCAGGAAGGGATAAAAACTTTTTTAAAACAAGAACAATTATTTATAGAATTGTCAGGTGATGACATTAAAGAATTTAATGAAGACGGTGGTTTGACCTTATTCAGTGCTATTCTTCAGCCTGTGGCCTCTGATGAAAAATATGTCCAGAACAACTTTCAGGAAGCATGCGAAAATGTCATGGATTCATGTGAAATATTTAATATGAAGTCTAAAACTGTGAAAAGAAAAGCCGTAGTGGAAAACATTACTTTAAAGGCTTGTAGGAGTGACGAAAACATCAAACAAATAAAAGACTGCCAAGAGCTGACCAACGGTGACTCAAATGAAATGTGCTTTAATGATATGATGGAGTCATCTGTACCTTGTCAAGATGGTACCTGCTCAGGACCAAGTATCTTAACACAACAGGAAGCCAAATTCACAGATTCTGAAAAAAATAATACTAAAAATATTTGTTTAGAACTTGAGCATTCAGAAAATCTCTGTGGAACCAGTTCAGAAGTATTAAAAAGTTCTTTTTACACTCCATATCACTTTAAGGACAGTGGGGAAAATCCATCTCTCCAGAAGGAAAAGACCAACGATAATGGAATAGTTGTCAACAGTGTTTGTGAGGGACAACAACAGAGACTTAAAGATATCCCTGAAATAGCATGCAAATCTTCACCTTTTGGGAGAATGCTATTGGAGACATGTGATACACTTAAAGAAGACAAGAAAACAGAGAGAGAATCCAACTGTGATAGAGGAAAGACAGTTATTAGTCATGGACAAGTTCAGTTGTGCTCCACTGGTTTTATAACTCATGTGATGCAAACCCAACAATCAAAAGCATCTGAAATGGACTTTACATTAAAAAATAATTTTCAACCTGGGCCTGTTAGTGCCAGGCAAATATTTGGAAACAAAACCCAAAGTTCAGTTGAGACCCCAAACATAGACTTAAATATTCATTTAAGTGAAGAATCTGCTAAACCAGTCGACCAAAATTTTTACATAACAAATATGAAAGATGGGCCGAAAAGCAAAACCATAGGAATCTATGAAAATAAGGCATTTTTTCAAAAGAAAAGCAGTAAGCAGTCACATACAAGTAACTTGTTATCTAATGCTTCCGTAACTTTTCCTTGGAATGTACACATTTCAAATAACAGGAAAACAGAAAAGCTGATTGGTTTTTCTAAACCCTTTGCTCATAAGAAACTAAACTTATTTTCACAGCCAGTGCCTTTAGAGAGGTTTAAGAGACAATATAGGAAGGCTGAGAGTCCTTTGCCTACAAGAATTCAGGATTTTGAAATAACTACCAATAATAGTTCCCAAGTTCAACCTGACTTTTCCCAGAAAGAGAATAGTCACTTAGACCACTCCAATGTTTGCGAAATTCCAACAATAAATAATAGTGAATCCAGTGATAGTGACCAACCAGTTAGTCACATCCTCTCAGAACAGTTCTCAACTTCCAAGAAAAAGGCGATGTTGGAGCAGCAGAATGCCTGTGTGAGAGAAAGTCCTATAACACTGACTGACTATTCTCAGTTTAACAGAAAACCTTTGAATGTTAATAGGCCATTAGGATCATTAGCATCTAAGCTATCCAGAATGAAAGGTCACAACAAAGAAGCTTTAATTACTGAAACTATAGGACATTCTAATGATTTTTGCCAATTCAGCTCCAATACAGAAGACAGTAGTTTGTGCAGTGTGTTAGCCCAGGAGTCTCATAAGTTACCCCATAACATGCTTAACATCCCAGATTCAGACACTGCTGTACAAGATAATACCTATAATAAAAATACAAATTCACCTTTTACTCACCAGTCATTACTAATCAATACAACAGAGGACTACCCAATGAGACATAATGTTCCCTTGGCATTATCCAGAAATTCATCTTTTGAGGTCTGTGAAGACCCAAGTATCCCCACCATATCTTCAGAACAGCAATCGGAAACAGCCGACCCTCCCAGCACGGTTTTAATAAATCATGTAGACATTTCAGCAGATGATCAAACTGCAGCTTGTTTTCAGAAAGAGAATACCAAAACAAGAGTTTCTAAGGATGAAGAGTCAATGACACATTCCTTTGATTGGCAACAGCATTTTGATATGTCATTGGGTAGAACAGTCTATGTCAACAAAATAACTGGACTTAGCACATTCAGTGCCCCCCCAGAGGAGAGTTTGGCCAGTTGTACGAAAGACCTAACAACCGTGGCTGTCAATATTGTCTCCAGAAACGGTAGGTAGAAAGTTTCTTTTCAAAGCAAATGTATTATAAATATGAAATGCCCTAGAAAGAAATACAGTGTTTGAGTTATAAAATAATCTTTCTTTGCATGAGTAAAAGCAATATCTTTGAAGAACTAGTACTCAACCACAAAATGATGATTTGGAGAAAAGTGTAATTGTAGTGAATAATAATAGCTCATATTTCAATAACGTTTTAAGGCTTGCAAAGTTCTTAACATACATTATTTCATTTGTCCCTCACAAGCCTGTGAGGTTGGCGCTATTGTTATTCTCATTATACAGATGAGGAACCTCAGGCTCAGTGACTTGCCCAGAATCACACAGCTGGTAAGTGCCAATACTGACTAGAAAGCTGTTCTAATTCAGTGTCCTCCAATATCTGAAAATTCCCTTGGTCAGAAGCAGTTAAATTAGAAACACTGTGAAATTTTGATTGATGTAGCTCACACATCAGGGACATGATGGACGTTTACATTATAAATGATCGTATTATAATGGAAGCAGTGAAGTAAGCCTAAGACCCATTATGATCCCTGCCATCCCAGGAATTATCTTCAGTGCTCTTGCAGTACCAATAGTGGTATTATTTTTTTTTAATTATTTTAATAATTTTTTATTGTTGGAAATATTTTAACAATCATTTTTCAAAAGTTTGAGTTCCAAATTCTGTCCCTCCGTCCTGCCCCTCCCACTTCCTTGACAAGGCAAGCAATTTGATATTGACTATATGTGTGAAATCATATAAAACATATTTCCATATTACCCATATTACAAAAGAAAACAAACAAAAGAAAACAGTAAAAATAAAGTTAAAAAAAGTATGCTTCAGTCTGCATTCAGAAGTCATTAGTTCTCTTTCTGGAGGTGGATAGCATTTTTCATCTTGAGTCCTTTGCAATTGTCTTGGGTTATTGTCTTGATCAGAGTATCTAAGTCTTTCATGGTTGATCATCCTTACAACATTGCTTTTATTGTGTACAGTATTCTGGTTCTGCTCTTCATTTGGCCTAAGTTCATATAAGTCTTCCCAGGTTTTTCTGAAGCCATTTTCCATCACAATCATATACCATAATTTGTTCAGCCATCTGCAGTTGATAGGTATCCCCTCAGTTTCTAATTCTTTGCTACCACAAAAAGAGCTTCTAAAAAATTTTTGTACAAATAAGTTCTTTTCCTTTTTCTTTGATCTCTTTGGGATACAGACCTAGTAGTGGTATTGCTAGGTCAAAGGGTATGCACAATTTTATAACATTTGGGTATAGTTCCAAATTGTTCTCCAGAATGGTCAGACTAGTTAACAACTTCATCAGTAATGCATTAGTGTCCTAATTTTTCCACATCCCCTCCAGCATTTATCATTTTCCTTTTCTGTCATATTATCCAATCTGATAGGTGTGAGGTGGTATCTTAGAGTTGTTTTAAATTGCATTTCTCTAATCAGTAGTGATCTAGAGCATTTTTTCATGTGACTGTTTGTTGATAGCTTTGGGGAAGCTAAGTGGCAGAGTGGAGAGAGCACCGCACCTAGAGTCAGGAAGACCTGAGTTCAAATATTTACTAGCTGTGTGACTCTGGGCAAGACACTTAACTCTGTTTGCCTCAATTTCCTCATCTTTAAAATGAGGTAGAGAAGGAAATGGCAAACCAGTATGTTTTCCAAGAAGACCCCAAATGGGGTCACAAAGAGTTGGACGTGACTGAAATGAATGAACAACAGCATTGATAGCTTTGAATTTTTCTGAAAACTGCCTGGTCATATCCTTTGACCTTTTATCAATGGGGGAATGACTCTTATTTTTACAAATTTGACTCATTTCCCTATATATTTAAGAAATGAAGTCTTTATCAGAGAAAGTTGTTGTAATTTTCCCCCAGTTTCCTTTGTTCCTTCTAATTTTGGCTGCACTGATTTTGTTTGTGTAAAAGCTTTTAAATTTCATATAATCAAAATTATCTGTTTTCCTTCTCGTAATCCTCTGTCCCTTGTTTGATCATAAACTCTTCCCTTATCCATAGGTTTGACAGGTACGTTTTTCCATGCTCCCCTATGCTTTCTTATGCTTTCACCCTTTATGTCTAGAATAATTTAACCATTTTGACTTTATCGTGGTATGAGTGTGAGATGTTGGCCCACTTTCTGCCAAACTTCTTTTCTGTTTTCCCAGAAATTTTTGTCAAATTTGGAGTTCTTATCTCCATTATTCTATTTCTTAGCCAGTACCAGATTATTTTGATGACTACCATTTTCTAATATAGTTTGAAATCTGGAACTTCTAGGCTGCCATCCTTAACATTTTTTTCCATTGATTCCCTTTATTTTCTTCACCTTTTGTTCTTCCAGATGTTCTTCAAGTTGTTGTTGAGTTTTTTTTTTTGGCTCTATAAAATAATTCTTTGGGAGTTTGATTGGTATAGCCATGGTTAAGGAAATTAACTTAGGTAGAATTATCATTTTTGTTAAAATGGCTCAGCCCACTCATGAGCAATTAATATTTCTCCAGTTATTTAGATCTCTTTATTTGTGTGAAAAGTGTTTTGTAACTGTGTTTATATAATCCTTGGGTTTGTCTCAGCAGTTAGATTCATATTATCTGCATTTTTTAAAAATGGAATTTCTCTTTCTATCTCTTCTGCTGGGTTTTGTTGTTAGTATATAAAAATGCTAATGATTCATGTGGGCTTCTTTTATATCCTGCAACTTTGCTGAAGTTGTCAATTGCTTCAGTTAGTTTTTTAATTGATTCTCTAGGGTTTTCTAAGTATCATCATCGTATCATCTTCAAAAAGCAATAGTTTTGTTTCCTCATTGCCTATTTTCCTTCAATTTCTTTTTCTTTTGTTATTGCTAGCATTTCTAGTACAATATTGAATAATAGTGTTGATAATGGACATCCTTGTTTCACTCTTAATTTTACTGGGAAGGCTTCAAGTTTATCCCCGTTATAGACAATGCTTGTTCTTGGTTTAGATAGATACAACTTATCATTTTAAGAAAGGTTCTATTAATTCCTTTTCTTTTTAGTGTTTTTAATAGGAATGAGTGTTGTATATTGTCAAGGGCTTTTTTTAATCTATTGATATAATCCTATGATTTTTATTGTTTTTGTTATTGATGTGGTCCATTATGCTGATTATTTTCCTGATATTGAAGTAGCCCTGCATCCCTGGTATAAATCCCATCTGGCCATAGTATATGATCTTTGTGATATATTGCTGTAATCTCTTTGCTAGTATTTTATTTAAAATTTTTGCATCAACTTTCATTAAGGAAGTATTTCTATAATTTTCTTTCTCTGTTTTTGATCTTCCTGGTGTGGGTGTCAAAACCACATTTGTGTCATAAAAGAAATTTGGTAGGACTTCCTCTTTACCAATTTTTTTCAAATAGTTTATATCATATTGGGATTAATTGTTCCTTGAATGTTTGATCGAATTCACTTGTAAGTCCATCTGGTCCTGGGGCTTTTTTCTTAGGGAGTTCATGATGGTTTGTTCAATTTCTATTTCTAAGAAAGTGTTGTTTAAGTATTCTATTTCCTCTTCTGTTAATCTGGGCAGTTTATATTTTTATAAATATTCATCCATTTCACTTAAATTCTTAGATTTATTGCCATATAATTGGGCAAAGTAGTTCCTAATAATAGCTTTGATTTCATCTTCATTGTTAGTGAATTCACCCTTTTCATTTTTGATATTGGTAATTTGGTTTTCTTTTCTTTTTAAATCAAATTAACCAATGGTTTAGCTATTTTATTGGAGGTTTTTTTCCCATAGAACAGCTCCTAGTTTTATTTATTAGTCCAGTGTTTTGTTTTGTTTTTTAACTTTCAATTTTATTAATCTCTCCTTTGATTTTCAAGATTTCCATTTTGGTGTTTAATTGGAGATTTTTAATTTGGGGGTTTCTTTTAGCTTTTTCTTTTAGTTGCATGCTCACTTCATTGATTTGCTTTTTCTCTCTTTTGGAGATATAAATTTTCCCCTAAGTACCTGCTTTGGCTGCACAAATTTTGGAATGTTGTCTCATTGTTGTCATTCTCTTTAATGAAATAATTGATTATTTCTATATTTGTTCTTTGACCAACTCATTCTTTAGGATTAGATTATTTAGTTTACAATTAAATTTTAATATATATTTCTGCAGTCCTTTATTAAATTTATTTTTATTGCATTATGGTCTGAAAAGGGTAGTTTAGTATTTCTGCTTTTCTACATTTGGTTGTAAGGTTTTTATGCTCTAATACATGGCCAGTTTTTGTGAAGGAACATGTATAGCTAAGAAAAAAGTATATACTCCTTTCTATTCCCATTCAGTTTTCTTTAGAGATCTGTCATTTTCTAAGATTTTATTCATCTCCTTGTCTCCTTTCTTATTTATTTCATGGTTAGATTTATCTAGCTCTGAGAGGGAAAATTTGAGGTACCACACTAGTATAGTTTTACTGTTTGTTGCCACCTATAATTCATTTAACTTTTCCTTTAAGAATTTGGATGTTATACTATTTGGTGCATATATGTTTAGTATTAATATTATTTCATTGTCTATGGTTCCTTTTAGCAAGATGTAGTTTCCCTGCTTCCCTTTTAATTAAGACTATTTTTGCTTTTGCTTTGTCTTAGATCATGATTGCTACCCCAATTTTTTTTTTTTTTTTTTGCCTAGGCAATGGGGTTAAGTGACTTGCCCAGGGTCACACAGCTAGTAAGTGTTATGTGAACTCAGGTCCTCCTGAATCCAAGGCTGGTGTTCTATCCACTGCACCACCTAGCTGTCCCTACCCCTGCCTTTTTTTACTTCAGCTGAAGCATAATAGATTATGCTCCAGCCCCTCCTAAATGTGTGTCTCCCTGTTTCAAGTGTCTTTCTTGTAAACAACATATTGTTGGATTCTGGTTTCTGATCCATTCTGCTATATGCTATGGGTCAATTCATCCCATTCACATTCACAGTTATGATTACTAACTGTGCATTTCCCTTTATCCTATTTT